TTGTATTATTGTATATTTATATATATTATTGGAAGTCATTAAAAAAACATATATGTATATATTATTTTTAACGACAGTTATGTGTAATTAATAAAGATAATTGCTGTTTTATAATATTTAATAATAAAAATAATTACTATCGAACAATAATTAATAGTATAACAATTAATATTTTATAAAATAATTATTACAGTATTTACTTTATTATTATATTATTAATTCATGGTTTGTTTTATCAAAGAAACATGGGAGTCGTTCGAGAAAAAAAATATTATATAGAACGATTCTATACAACAAACGTTAACGCGTGTGGGTTTTTCTTAAGATAATGTATGAATGTAATAGTATTAATGTAATAATATATTGTGGACATAAGAAAAAAAACATAATATGTTTTAAAAATGATTCCGTAATAAGGAATCATTTTTACAAAACTATAATAGGTGTATATAAAGTGATTTTTTTTTTTTATCAAGAACCAGCAATTATCTTTGAGAATTTTAAGTGAATTTGAATTGTGTTTCTTTTTAATCATTGTGAAATCGTTTAAACTTTATATTATTAAAACCATTTTAAATTTTTTACAGCTACAACATTTACCTGTACATAATAATTATGTTTTCAAATAAAAATCCCCCTTTTTGAACACAGATTAGAATAGAAAAATATTTTTGAGAAATGTTGGTATGCATAACATTAATATCAGATTTACCGTTTTTGAGTTACAACTTAACTTATAAGAATATTTAAGTCTAGCGGCCAAATCGAGTGGAGTGCGGTGATATACTGATGCGATGATCGCTCTTGGACTTTCTTTTCTTAATCGAATTATAATAATATATAGGTACCCGATGACGTCACTGGTGCAGGGAACGGGATCCAGACGTCCAGTGGTATGCGTTTGAATGTAAAATATATGAGTGTATAGTATATATAATACTAGTTCATCACAGTAGCGTGTACCCAAAATAAATTGGTGTTGCTCAAATTATTGTACGTGACCTACTCCTTATAATATTGTTATACCTACCGATAAAATGTATTCTTATTATTTATTTTACCGTAAAACGGGGTTACTTCGAACAGATTTTTATGTTTGTTCTTCTATTAACACTCACCCACTCATATTTAAGGTGTTGCTTGAGCAACACTTGGTCGGCATGGCCAGTTTCCGCCCAAAATATACCTTTTTCTTTTCCACCAATTCACATTTTCGCTACATATTAAAATTTAGTCTAATATATTCAAATATTAATGGATAATTGTATACATTACAATTATTAACTAGACAAATAAATAAATTAAACATTTATAATTTCTATTTATGTATGATAAAAATTGTGTTTATTATTTATTGAATACAAGGTAAAAATAATTTTTAATATTCATAACGATTGTTCTTACCTCAATTTTTTGCTCAAAAAATATCAAAAATATATATATTTCACTTTTTTTTTATTATAGTACTTATAAAAGTTCAAATTTATTTTTATTTTTTTTTTCCGTCATATGATATCTATAACTTACTGTAACTTCACACAATGATAAATTTATCGCTGATTATCATATTTTTCAAACGACATCGATTATGTTGATAATCTTATTTGTTATATTAGTTGATACAGTTATGTGATATGTACGAAACCGACTTTTATGACGCAGTTTAGTTGATACCAAACCACATTGTCAACAGTAAAATAATTTTTTTTATAATACAATAATAATAATTTATGATACAATTATGGTATAGAGAATTTTTGTTATAATAATATTTAGTGAGAAGATGTCGATAATTTAAGCATTCTTTCCGTTTATTATAAAGCTCTGTCTTAAATGCTCATAAAATCTCTATTGCCGATTCATATTTTTTACCTTTGATCAATTTTAGCTATAAATGTAATTTTTTTAAATTTTTTTAAATTTTCATTTATAATTACAATTAAATAAAATACAAATAAATACAAATAAAATTTTGTGTTTTGTACTTACAGTGGATATTTTTACTTTACTCAATTTATAGATTGTGTTATGATTTTTATACGAGTAGATACAAATTATTTTACACATTTTTTTTTTTTATTTTATGAAAAATATTCAATAACCAGAATTATTGTTCAAACAAAAATGTTTTATTTCATTTTTATTCTCTATTGAAAATGTCAGTATTATCATAAGTTATTATACGTTACATAATATAGATAGATAGTAATGAGCTAATAAAATAATTTATGATGTTAAATTATGTTTATTTCAATACTTTCACTTTGGTAGTTTCTTGTTTCGTTTTCAATATATTTTATCAAAATGTTTGTATAGTATATGTCTATATTGTAATCAAGGATATATTATAAAGTTATTTAATTTAAATCTGTATGAAACGATAAATCATTATTGAACGAAATGGGATTCTGAGTTCAGAAAAACCATAAATTTACCTAGGCAGTCTAGATCTGAGTTATATATGACATACAAAAAAAATTTTTTTTATTTTTTTTTTAGATTCTGAGTGGAGTGAAGAAGCTTATGGTTTTACAAAGAGGTTTTTTTTTTTTTTTTTGGACAACTTTTTACCAGACATCTTGCTCCGATTATTAAGTCAAGCACTTTTTCTAAAAGGAAATCGATGTGGGGAGGTACTTAGAGACCTAAGCCAACGTTTACTCGGACTATTTTAACCGCAAAAACCCCTCGATTTGTTGTGCAAACTTTTCTACCAGAAATCTTGCTCCGATATATCAAGTATAGCTTATTTTCTGTGAGGAAATTGTATTTCTATGGCAATATATGATCATTTTTTGATTTTTCAAGTGGTTTTCATAATATCTAGGAAAAACCGGGAAATCGTAGAAAAACTGGGGAAATCAGTAAAACGTTAAATAGAAATATTAAAATATTATTTTAATAATAATAATATTTTACAATTATTATTTAATATAATATAATAATTATATTTTAAATGCCTATTTAATTATTTTACCATAATATGATTTATATATTGTTGACAAATCATCATTATCAACTGAACTCCGTTTAGAATCGTTTATTCGTTAGTAATGGTTCACCATTGCTTACAGTCATACAAATATAATCTATAACAGTGGCTGCAACCCTTCCCCATTATCCTATGACAGCTTTTTTCAATGTAATACCCTTGTAAAAACTCATAAGTCAACAATAATAAAACCTATGCATTGTCAATTATTGTCAGGTATTTTGTTTAAAATGTTTAACACAACTGTTGGAATCTCAACGATAATCGTCAAACAAAGCAATATGTACATTGGGGCAAAAATGATCATCTTTTAATATAAGTACGATATATTAAAAATTTAAAACATTTTTAATAACCGTTAAAGAGTTTTTTGAAAGTAAAAACCACAAATTATGTTTAAACCAACAGCTTCTTCTCTTCTTTCATAATCTAAAATATAAAATTTCATTCGTAATATTTTTCCTTTCTTGAACTACAATGACTTTTTTTTTAACAATTGATGTCAAATCATAAACGTGTCCAACGATGATGTATAAAATTGCAAACGAATTCATACACTTAACGGCGCGTTATAACCTTGTGCCCGAGTATAATAATATTTTTAACGAGATAACAATATGAGTATTAAGGATTAAACGACACTATATTAATATTAATTCGCTACACATGTAATAATAATATAATTCGAGTGTATTAATATGACTCTTACGGCGGTTTAAAAGACCAACTACGTGTCTACGTGTATCGATTTTACCAGGTACTGATTTTACTGACGTGTTATATATGACTTAGGTATTGAAGTACTGGTGTTGATTAAATCATAGTCGTATATTTCGAATAGATATGTAATAAAAATCACATTTTTGCCTAACAGTTAATAATTTATCTATGAAGTACAATTAATAATACGTGATTTGTTTTGGAGTTCAACGTTAAACGCTATCCGGACACGAGATAAAAACAATGTTCGCTATCGCACATGGTAGCTTTGTAAAATGTCGTAACGGTATTCAGAATTCCGTAAGTTTATCGACAATCGTGCCGATAGTCTACAAGAACGAGTAAGTTAATCGCGGATTGTGTCTGGTTTCTGCACTATCAATACTTAGGGGGTTGCATATAGACTAAACTTAACGAAATATTTGAAAATCAAACCACACTCAAAAATATTATTTAAATTTGCTTTTATTTCAAACTTAAATATATATTAATTTATTTATATATTAATAAATTTACGGGCGTAGCCCTTGTTTAAAAATAAAATATACATAATAATTTTAAGATTATAATACATTAAAGAAAAAACAATACTTTGATAATGTTCATTGGAACCCTGCAACTAGTTTTTATGTTTTTTGTATATGCGTTTTCCATGAAAGCTTGTGGTCAATAGTAAATCTTAGAATACCTAAATTGTTCGAGAAGTAAAGCGGTGTCTTTTTTTTTTTTTTTTTTAATGTGATTCCTTAGGATTTGACAGGAAGAAAAATAAAGCCTTTTTGAGAACCATTGGGTTAATGAATTGACTGACTCTTGGAAAAGTTGAGTAGTGGTTGCTATATTAGTCCCACAACAGTAAACGTTGCAATCATCTGCAAACAGTTTATATTTGATGGGTGGAAGAATATTTAAGTCAATATCGTTTATTGCTACTTAGAAGATTGTAACGCTGTTTGTTGAGCCTTGTAGTAAAATATTTTCGATATAATGTAGGTTGGATTTTGTGTTTTAAATTTTCACTCTAAAAGAACCATTGGTTAAGAAGTTTATCATGTGGCCATTGATATCCCATTTCATGAGAGTCGATATAACTCTGTTGCTCCAAACTATATCATACGCCTTTTGTAAATCAAGAGAAATAAGTACAAGGTGAAGGTTCTATTTGAAAGCTGTGCAGATGTCGATGTGAAGTGTAGATAGGTTATCGATAGTAGAGTGGTTACGTCTGAAGTCACATTGTTGAATGGAGATGCGGTTAGTCGATTCGAGGTACCAGATGAGTCTTTTATTAATTTTTTCTAAGATCTTGTTCATTGTGTTTATAGTTATTTAATAAGAAATTTATCTTATATGTGAATAGTTGTGAATTTAAAATTTGTTCTTTTCCGGTTTGGGAATGGGGATTACCGAAGCATTCCGCCATTGGTTTGGAAATACCCTTGTGGCTATATTGAATTGAAAATAAGTAGAACAGTTGTAATTCCATATTTGCCGGAAGGTTTTGGATGAAAGAATTGGGGAGACTGTCCGGTCCTGGGCTTTTGCTCGTACTGTTATGGAGGGCTGAGAGAAATTCTTTGTGGGTCAAAGATTGGTTAAAACTATGTTTGATGAAGGATGGGTTAGTTTCTGCTAATGTTGACACTGAATTTGTGTACGCTAAAAATTCATCTGAGTAATTCATATTACTATTGTTATTCTGGAAGAACTGCGCGAACACTTCCACGTCAGCTGGAGATGTCAAGCTAAGACTTATTTTGGTTATCTCTAATCGATCAGGAAAACTGTGGCATTTGTGTCTTTTTAAGGTCCGAATTTTATTCCATAGTACTGAGAAATCAATTTTGTGATTGATAGAAAAGTTTGATAAAGTTTTCCATCAAGTAATTGATTTGGCTATGAATCTAGCCTCCGCTATTGCTTTTTTAAAGAAGATGTGGTCCTTGGGGTCTTTTGTCTTTTTGAAATGGTTAAGAGAGAATAGTATCTTCTTAACGACTCGAAAGAATAATCAAAGGTTTTTCTTAAAATGAATAAACAGCACGTGCTGTGGTTTGTCTATGTTATAAGAGATTATAACTTATTATTATATCCATTATCGGCTGTTTCAAATAAGTACTTTACCCACATTATATTATAAAAAAAAATATAATATATAATATTTCACAATTATTATTACAATTTACTATAGTATATTATGTGACATTTTGTGATATAAATACCAAACGATATAATAAAATTAATGCACATACCTACTATAATAATATATGATTTTCAATCTCGTGCAATATTAGACATAAACGAATAATTGTATTAATTGTATACAAATGCATATAATCGTAATAATTCGTTTTATCTTGCGCTACCTAAGCCATCATGAATCACATCGATAAAACCTGTGCAAGAATTAAGTAACTTTATTTCGGTGTGACTTAGTTATAATATAATAAGACCTAGGGAAGACATGTATTTTATAAATTAAAATGTTATTTTAATAAAATAATATATTAATTTCATATCAAATAATTTACGCGCAGTCGCGTGCAAATGCGATCTACATTTATGAAATTATCTTTGTAAATTTTGGTAAACGTATTAAAATGATGTATTTATTTGAAAAAAAATGCACATGTTTTGTAAATCACCCAGGAGAATTGGAAAAAATATGAATTATATAATTAAATAAATATATAGATTATATTACCTGGTCAATTTTAATTAAATGGGGAGAGAGAGAATTTTCAGTTTTTTAATATAATAGAAATTAAAAAAAAAAAAAAAGCGGTGAACAATATTTAAATTGAGTGAGTAGAAGTACATAATTTTAGACTCAGAGCATAGCGATGAATCTATTGCTTTTAATTTGATGTAAAATACGCAAAAAAATAGGAACAATTACGAAAATAATTCTTTATTGTTTTAAATTTTATTTCCTTGATGTAATTCATTTAAAAATATTTGTAGAAACTTAACATGTTGTCAAAAAACATATATTTGATGTTTCTAAGCATAGCAAAACATTCAGAAAATTTAAGCTATTTAAAGACATTTTAATTTTGCAAGTTTACGTAATTTGTATTTGTTAGGTACTCTGTAGATAAATTGTTGGACTTGAAATGCTTGAAAATTTGATAGGAGGTTCAATATTAGCCGTCCTAAGTGGTTAAAAAAAAAAATTAGTTTAATGTAGTATTTTTATTTATTATTTTTTTTTTTTTTATAAGAGTTTTAAAATCAAATTTTGACGAGAATTGTAAATATTACGGTCTTTAAAAACATGTATAACCGAACTTTGCTCCGAATCGTTTTTCGCTATTAATGGTTTATCGTTGGTTACTGGTATAAATTAAATAACTAATGTGTATCTCACCTTCCCCATAATACCCACCCATAGGCACCAGGTACATGGATGCCCGGGTGCTTAAGCACCCATTGAAAATACTAATTGGGTGTGGAGCACCCTATATAATTATAATAGGCAAAAAATAAATGTAGATATTGAAGAAAAAGATGGCAATCGTAATCGTAAACCTAATATAAAAATCAAAAAAGAAGTCAGGAAATGGTGCCAAAGCAAGTGGTTTTCTCAAACAATTGCTTAAATATGAATTTTTATTTTGTATCAAAGTAATGATTAATATTTTTGAAAAAGTTCAGTTTCTCATTGCAGAACTCCAAAAGATATCATTACATGAAGTAAAAATTAAAGTTAAATACTTAATTGCATCAATTGAATAACAAAGAGAAATTGGCTTTAATGACTATGGCTGGAAATTTCAACCAAGGCAAGAGAACTCAATATTAAGGAGCCAAATGATCAAAAACCTAACAAAACACCAAAAAACAGTGAATAAGATTTGCTCTATCAGTTAAATTTAAACTTATATATTATGAAATAATAGATGTTACTGTATCAGCACTGAATAGTAGATTTCAACGAAATGTAATCGATAATTTATGTTCGTCAGAGAAATTTGTAATCGGTGAAGATAGACCACCGATGTCAATGTTATTGCATTTTATGTAAGGGATTTCAACAGAGATAAATTTATATTACATCGAGATATGTTCTTAGATATTGCAAAATCTAAGGATGCATCTATAAACAATTTTCAACATACCATAAATTTCATAAAATCTGATAATTTGTGTGACATGTTATTAGAGTTTTTCAAATTCCTACAAATTATCTTAATTATTACAGTCTCATCTTGCTCTGCAGAAAAGTCTTTCTCAGCATTAAGGAAGTTGAAGACATTTTTGAGATCAACAATCAGTACTCGAATTAGAACAAAAATTGAGGACGGACGCTGGTTTTAGTTCAGGAAATACTGTTCAAAAGCAGATGAATGTTCAGAGCAACCCACGGGGGACTTCGTACCCCGCACCACTATACATGTAGTAAATTAAATAATTAACACAACAGCCTAATAATATTTAAACACTGATTTTATAGGATTGTGCTGGTCGCTGATATAATAAATAGATAAAAGATTTACCTACCTAAGGGATGTGACTACTGCAATCTTATATAACCAAAATTGCGAAAATATTTTTGATCGAATTTTATTGACTAATAGGAATTAGTTAGAGACAGTGACTATCGGGAAAAGATAAGGAAAATAGATAAATATCCCATCTAAAATCAGTCACCGACGAAAATAATACCTAACGAAATTCATTATTAGTTTAGTCGTAAACGGTCTTTTTGGAATGTTATAATATTGTACAATAACAGCTTGACATATATATTGAAGATATTCAAGTAGACAAAATAATATAAATTACTAAAATCAATGAATATAATTTGTTTAAATAATAAGATACTGTCTTTTAGATCGTGATTCGACTCCTAACGGTTTAATTAGGTATTGAATGAAAATAAAAAAGGTCTAACTTACATAATGGAGTAGCATTTTCATTTCCAACATTTGTGTCGTCTTCCTTGCCTTGGACATCGGTGGTACGATTTTTTTTATTGTTATTAGAACTTAAGTAAAAATCTATTCATTTCACAACAAAAAATAATTATTTTAAACTTTAAAGCCTTAACGCGTGGATTTTCTCGTAGTCAGTGCTCATGTGACATGGTAACGTGCATTACCCGTGAATCGGCGATTACGTTGAATAATAAAATTATGAAAAAAAAAAAAATATTATCGTACTTTGTAAAGCGTTATAGGTATATTTCCAATCGTAATTGATCGTCATCGATGATAAACTATTTTTTATAACTATACGGAGTGATCAATCTATCATAAGACACTCATTGTCTCGGAATGTATTAACTTTTTTCGGAATTAATTTTATAGAAAAATGTTGAAACACGCAGCTCTACAATTTTACATTTATGTTATTTTTTGTCACTATTTTTTTTGGAAGTAATATCTCTATCTACTTTTGATTTTCGAACGGCAACCTATATTCAAAATTCCATAAATAAATGGATTATTAGGTGAAATAAATTTTAGTATTCACACTTTTGATTTCTGTCGATCGAGATATTCTACTTTTAAGTTTTGGTTGGAGGAGAGTAGTGGAGTATTATTTGTGTGGCAGTACGACGCGCGGTGTGTTGATAATACCACTCTCCTCCAAACAAAACTTAAAAGTGGAATATCTCGGAAATTAAAAATTTTAACACCAACACTTATTTTAATTAATACTTCATTTATTTATGACATTTTTAATACAGGTGGCCTCATGAAAATCAAAAGTAGGTAGAGATTTTACTCCTAAAAATAAGGGTGACAAATAATAATATAAATACTGTTATGTAGTATTGTTGCTAAATTATTATTTGTACCGCCTCGATTGTCGTCGACGATAACCGTAAACGATAAATAAACGAAAACAAATTTAAATACACCATTCAAAAGTAGACATGCCTAAGAGAACGCGTTTCTAGCGTTCCAGGATTAGTTAAATGAAGGGGTACGCTGAAATCTACGAAAAAATAAAAGAAGACTTGGTCTGCCTGTGTTCCCCCCCCCCAATTCGAGCACTGTCAACAATGACACAGAATCGTTTCATTGATATAGCTATTCTTCATGTCCATCTAAACGAAGATGTGGATATTGAAAAAGTCGCTAATACTTTTATAAATAAAGCCAATTTTCGTTAAAACACATTTACATTATAATATAATATTTATGTTTTATTATTCATGCGTCACACGCAGAATTTGAATTGTCCGTATTTAATAAGTATAAGTATTAGTTTTAAAATTATAGGTTTGTTAAATACATTAAATAAATAATTAACTAAATAAACATCTTTGTAAAACTATAAGCTTCTTCGCTCCATTCAAAATCTAAAAAATCTACAGAAATATTCTTTACTAATCGGGTCATTATGTTTTATGGTAAAGTATTAGTTATCAGTGGCATTATAGCTGCCCATTAAACTGATATTGTTTACGTTTTTACAGTTTTCGAGAAAACTAGTTTAATAAGGTTACAACGGACGGTTATAATATATACCGGGTGATTCATTTAAGTGGGTGCGTTCATTATATCGGAAATTATTTTTTTTGGAATTCGTTTTCTAGAATATTTAAGAAATAAGTAGCTTTACAATTTTATAATTATGTTATTTTTGAAGGTAAAACCACTACCTAATTTTGGTTTTCAAATGGCAACCTATATTAAAATTTCCATAGATAGATGGATTATTAGTTAAAATAAAATTTAGTATGGACATTTTTGATTTTTCATTTCTGTTAAGCCGTTGACGAAATATTCCACTTTTAAGTTTTAGTTGGAAGAGAGTAATGAAGTATCATTTGTGTGGCGATATAGCGTGTGGCGTGTCAATAATGCACCACTACTCTCCTCCAACCTAAATTTAAAAGAGGAATATCTCGTCAACGATTTGACACGAATCAAAAATGTCAACACTAAAATTTATTTTATTTAATACTTTATCTACTTATATAATTTTTAATATAGGTTACCATTTGAAAACCATAAGTAGGTAGTGGTTTTACCTTCAAAAATAAGGGTGAAAAAAACTAACACATTTATAAAATTGTAGAGCAGCTTGTTTATTAAATGTTCTAGAAAACAAATTCCGGAAAAAGTTAATACTTTCTTAGATAGCAAGTGTACCTACTTAAATAGATTACCTGGTAGAGGACGGAGTGGAAAATACAATTTTCAAAATATCTGATTTTTGTTTCTTTTATGGGAAATTTTTTTTTAAAAGTATAAATACAAAACTGTAATGTACGTTACATAAAAAGAAAGATAATAAGTGCAAGGGAGGGTGGAAGGCTGACCCCACAATTTCCCCCCTCCATATACGCTTGCCTTTATAATATATACTAGACAATATTGTATTAAAATTAATTAGTTGATAAACAATTTAACGTAATCATCTTATTGATTGTAATGAAACATCATAAATTTCCTTGAAATTCATTTTGCATATATCGGCAGCAATATTTCAACTATAGGTATGAATTATGTATAACTATTGAGATGGTTTTTGTTTCATCGATTTTATTAAAGTGAAATTTATGATTTTCCAGTAATTGTATATATTGCGTGATGTACTCGTATTTATGGTATAATAGAGGTTTTTGGTAACAAACACACGTGCGAAAATTCAAATTCGTTTAAATTTGTAGGTTGTTTTCCCGTTACCGTTATGTTATCGAACCTCAATGAACCGAGTCGCGTATTTACATAATTTCCTTTCCATCTCTTCAATATAACTTTAAATTTATTTTGTGAATTGTTTCGCGTTTATGAAACTTTTTTACGCAGATTTTTCGAATACTTTTTGGCGTCGATAACTGCAAACATATTTAAATTGTTATACTATTATACTTAATTTTGTTTTTTATTTATTTTTCGTCCTCAGTATATTGGTTAATCTACGGGGGGGGGGGATATGGGATTTATATCATCCCATGGGCTAAAAAAGTGACAATTTAAAAAAAAAATATGTTATTAAATTACACACATTTATCTTTAAATAATGGTCATTGGAATAATCTTGTAAGCAGTAAATTACTTATTTATTGTGTCTATAGTCTATATCGTGGCATAAGCAATAACAATGATAATATATCTGAATGATAACCGAAGCGATAAGGTGTTCATATAATTGATATTTTATTTAACGTTTTATTTCCTTATCACAACTTACAACTGCATAGTTTTTATTTAAACAGTTACGCACAATAATTTAAAGTACCTTTATCTCCTTTTAAGTTTTACGTGGACGTTGATAATAAATAATAACAATATATTTAATAGAATATTGTAAAATATGAAAATACATAGTAAAACATATCGCTTATTATCCTTCAAGTGTGGCCGCTCAGTTTTCGGGGGGCCTCTGACATCGGAGAAAACAAATTCTTAATTTGTCAACCTATCCCCTTGCACCAATGTTCAGTAGTACTATAATATTATTTTAACTACGTTTTTATTATTGTATGTCGTAAAAATCTGCTAGAAATTTGCCCTGGTATAATTATCTGTATAGAAAACGTATAAAAGCATTATTTGCGGAAGTCATTTTTATTTGTATTTCTTTCATACCTCGGCATAGAATATAATATTTTAACGGTCTTATTAAAAAATTGTATGAATTTAGACACGTTTTTCTCTCATAATATGAAAAAAAAATATATACTTTTCATAATATTATTAGCTGTATTAATATCCATGTAATTAAAACTTAAATACAAATATGTTCAGTGTGCGTGTATAGATACTATCTGGAGAGGCTGCAGACAATGTGAATTCGTATATATTTAAATAGTATAATAATTACTGAAACACTAGTTAAAAATATCATATTATTTCGAAGCAATTGCATTATGGTAAAACTGGTGAAATGTGTTTTTAACAGCGTTAAATATTATGATATAGTCACTGCACACGACATCGGGCTCGTGGTTGTACTACAGTCTGCGCATAAGATATACTTACGCATTAAGGTCATAAGTACAGTCATATGTACAGTTTTACCTAAATCGTACCATACATTTTTGATTTTTATTTGCTTTAAATTATTTATTAAATAATTACTAAAATATAGTTATTTATTGTTTTTTATGTTATAAGACATAAGTTTTAACATTTTAATAGTATTAGCATCATGAAAAATCACTAGACAAAAATTTAAAAATGCCAATTTGTTTTTGAAAGTTATATGTTTATACATATCGGTGGCATGGCGTTATGGTGCTCAGGAGCAGTGCACCACCTACAATGTTGAAAATTACCTATACATTGCTGCTTTACTACAATAAAATATTTAATGCGAAAAGTCGAGAAAAACGAATGTTATCGTACGTTTTAGGTATACCATTGTATACAATACGCAGCGCTCGTAGTGGCAGCGGCCACGGAGTATGGACGGGCAAATACAATTTTTGCACCAGTTGCCCATGCGTATTTAACCGTTTCATTCCCATTACTGGCACAATTGCCATTAAAGTTGTGGTGTGTTAATGCACAAACGAATGTCGCATCTCCAAGGCCGTACAGCCGTCTACCGCTGTGACGGAGAATATCATACTTTGGGAACTGATTGTTTCTTTTCTTGTCCGGCGGGCGGCGTTATCTCAAAAAATACTCTATAGAAAATATTGACCGACCCGATTTGCATTCAATCCATAAATAATATTATTTAATAAACGTTACAAAAACAAACATCATTCCCAAATATATTGTAGTAGATATCTATCTAAGAACCTCCTATATAAAACAAATACAAATATATCCATATTTCAATAAAATATTTGTTTTAGTTCCTGTTTTTTAAATTGACTGTTCTTATTGTATACATTTTTTTTTAAATGTGCACCACCAATTATTTTACTCACTGGTCGCCACTGATACATATAGTAAATATATATTTTAGATTCTGAGTGGAGCGAGAAATGTGTTGGTTTTACTATGATATTTATTTTATATTTTAAGTGAAACGAAGAAGCTTATGGTTTTACAATGATATTTATTTTTTTGTTAACTGTAAACGAATTTTCTACCAGAAATATTGTTCCAATTTACAAGTGTAGTACTTTTCTGAAATGAAATCTGACTAGAGTGGTAATTTAGAGTGGTTTTTTTTTTCTCGGGAATTTTATTCTTATATTAGAAAAACCTGGTAAAAACAGAGAAATAACGAGGAAATGTACGAATTTATAGTAAAATATTACAACATTTTTTACCAGTAATTTTGTTCAGGTTTACAATGGACAACATATGTTTTCATACAGCAAAGAAACAAAATTATTTAGTTTTATACAGTTATCCGAAATATCAGTGCATTGTATTGTTTAATATAAATCATAATATTCGAAAGTTTATCTATTTAAAAATATTATTATAATATAAGTATTCCACATTTATAATATACTAATATTATAGACCTATAAGGCTAATAATATTATAAATTTTATGTACAGAATGTTCTTATTTGAATAAACAAAGTTGCTGTCTCCAAAGGATACTTCTTAAATATTGTGAAAATCTAATTATTCGAAAATATCGGTTTTAACTACTCCTAAAAATTTCAAAAATCAAAATTTGAATGTATGCAAAATATAACCAAAAAAAATGGAGTGAGCACTCTTAGTGAATCACCCTGTATATTATAACATGTTTCGGCCATAAGCTATCATCAAGTAATAAATAAATATTTATAAATATACCCTGGCTTACCTATACAGTTTATTTTATCTTATTATAATATATGAATATTAGATTTATCTATTTGTGTCTATTAATTGTTTAAATACTTATAAATTAAATTTACTTAAAATAAATGTATATGTGTATTTTTATGACAACATGCTGATACCCCCACCCCCTCACTTAACCCTAATTACGGCCCTGGGTAAGTCATCAATATTCCCCCTAAACATGAAATCGGTGCTACTGTCATTATAGACTATATAGGAGGATTAGCCATTTTTAAATATAATTATATTGATATTTAAATTTTGGGAAAATAGATACATCGATTTATCGTGTACTGATACTGGTATACCTGTATACCCTAAACTTGACCAGAGAGTCACGATCGTTGAAGTGTGAAACATATTTGTCACTATAATACACGTGAAATAGACGGAAAAAATAAATCATGCGTATACCATAGGGCTCTTAATATTTTATAAAGTTACTTTTCGACCAACACCAAAGCGTCTCTATAACAACGGCCGACAATCCACCCGTGACGCATTCGCCAAAAAAAAAAATTGTAACGTATTATAACACACATTAATGCGAACATAATATAACAAATCTGCGCGTTTGAGATAAGATAACTGATATAAAATACGAAAACAAATATATAAAAACCGAATACGCGTCGAGCAGTTAATAACGCTCATATTTAACTTTAAGAGCGATGTTTGTGGATTTGTTGTAATATAATATATTATATTTACATAGGTATGTATTATTTATATTATACATAATATAATGACATTACACAATTATAATAATTTCCATCGTTGTTGCTGCAGTATTACAATTACTGTATGTTTGCCTTGTGTGTTCTTGCGTGTACTTGACGTGTTTAAGTGTTTTTACTAAAGGTACTTACTAGGGTAGGTGTACGCAATAATAATATAAACGCGCTGGGAATCAAATCGCTTTGCGACTAAAGTGTGCGAGATTCAAGTGGCGTAGTCGTAGTGGTGCACTTACACCTGTAAACACCACATGATCAAACGAAAATGAACTGGTGAACTCGTCGCTTTATGTGATTTATGCGAATTTATAATATTAAGCTTGTTTAGCTAGAACTGCAATGAAAGGGGGGAAGAAACCACTGACATAAGAACTTCGCACCACAGGTGGGGGCCACTATTGTGGGTGAGAAATGTTGAAAGTATTAGGTGTCTATATATAGAATAATAAATTATACCCACGTTAATGAAAAACGATTCTGAGCAAAGTGATTTTGAACAGCTACTGTTGTGAGTGAGAAGTTGAAAATTTAGGATATAGACAGAAATTTAATGTATTTCTGTACTCAATGATTAACCATTGCTAATGAAAAACGATTCTGAACGGAGTTTTGTCAGCAATATAATATTATATATATATATATATATATATGGGTATACATGTTTTGAAAGGCTATAATATTTAAGATTTTAAAATAACATATTTCGTACATTTTCCCGTTTTTTCTACGTTTTTTTCCCGATTTTTCCTATTTACTATGAAAATCCCTAGGAAAATAAAAAAAAACTATAATTTCACCGCACCGACTAGACACATGATTTTACCAAAAATCAATGATCGGATTAAAAGTTTTTCACAGCGGAAAAAAAATATTCAAAATCGCACATCATACTAAAACCAACGTATTTCTTACCACGCTCAGAAACTAAAACGGCTATTGTAACTTAGTTATGAATATCTTTGTAATATACGGCAAGATTTTATGCTTCGGGGGGGCTGGTTGGTGGAAATCTAAGAGGTTCTGCCACCGCCGGTATGACTAGACGACTCGACGTCGTAAAGAATACATATATTAATATTAATTTTCTATGTTTTTTTCCCTTTTTTTTTGTCGTCTATTTTGTCTTTACATTTCTGTTAAGCCTATATAATAAGTATAATAGCACGTCGACAACGTAATTTAGAAAATTTGAAGAACACGATTGACCATGCATAGGACACGGCTAAAAATTAATCAATTTGTCACATACAAACGTGCTTTTTATTAGGTATATACCGTTATATATTAGAGGGAGATGTCAAACGAGCGTATCATCGCCACCGGACATTTTTTTAATGATAATTTATTGTGAAGAATAATTTAAAATAAATGATAACGCCTTTAATTGGCAGAGAGTATACATTAATATTAAATAAAATCATACAAATAACTAAAAATTATAAGAATGTAAAATAGACAATATAAAGTAGGAATGTAAAATTTTAAAAATCTCACATCCACTTTGTGGACCCCCGAGTTACCCTTTACGGACCCCCTAGGGGTCCATGGACCACCGGTTAAGAACCCCCGCCTTAGTGTATCATTGTGAATATTAAAGCATAGTCACAAATATTATAGATGCGTACTGTACACACGAGTCCAATATAGTATAAAGATACATACATTTTAGGAATCTTGACGGAAAATGCCCCCCCCCCTTAGAATTAGTTCCCCACTGGATGAAGTTCATCTTTTTTCTAAAGAAAGATATGAAGAAGAAGATTAAGTAATATCAAGCACACAAACATTATGTGAAATCTAGATGACGTGTACTAAGTTTGGTGAACTTTTACTGTTTTTAGCAACTAATTTTATTTATAGGCTATGAACAAAATGATCTTTTTTTATCTAAATAAAAAGTTTTTGATTATTTACCGTTATCTAAATTATTACATTGGTGTGTATATTTTTTCTTTGTCTTGATAGTTATTTTAGCAATCATCTCATACCTTTATCCAAGTTGTTTAAATATTATCTTTATACAACGCTATTTAATTATATATATATATATATATATATATGTTGCGAAGAATAGATATATAGATATATTTTACGCTATGTATATAACATACAAACTCCATGCATCATATATAGCGTAGAAATAGCAAATAATAATTTTAAAAAAATCACGTTATTTTACTTGAACAAAAAAAAGAAAGAAAATCCAATCATGGTGGCGAACATTAGACTTTATCCGCGGACGTTTACAAGGATAAAACACAACCATTGTAAATTAAATTAAATATATCTTTGGTTCCCCAAGAAAGAAGGGCTTAGGTCAATTTTTGGAATTTTTCTTTTATTAATCAGTTTGCCTTAAGAAATTTGTATCCTATTACTTTTTATAGCTTACTGCATTGTTCGCTATTCGGTTAAATATAATTAAATTTCTTTGTTTAATGTGCAGTATTTCACCTGGACATGAATAGCCACCAGGAATCGAAAATATTAAACGCAGTTTCCATAATTTTTTCTTGAGATTCTGGCAATCCGGTCGTCGAAATATTGCGTTCAGTCATCAAACAAATTGCTTTTCGGTAAAAAATATCGCAGAAACATGCAGAAACAGATGGTTTGTTTAACCAGTAACCGGGTTACTCAAAACTGCACCGGAGAAACAAGTCTGATATTATTTAATAATATGTTGTGTATGCGATTTTCTATAATGTCACTTTCGCTCGGAACGCGTTTAACGCAGCCTCGCAGCTGACAATGGGAATAGCGATTATTCGAGAAAGAGAGTATCTACAGTAGAGTAATCTACAGAAAAAAAAAAAAATCGAAAATAATTGGACCGCATCATTTTTAATAATACGTATAGAATATATACATATCATGTGATAGCCGTGCGGGGCCACGTCGTCGCGGTCCGTCGTAACGAATGCGATGCAGTCGTGACGTTTATCATCGCCTTGTCCGATGGACGTCTCCGCGAGTGTTTCGAGTCGATTGAGAGTCGCTGTAATCGTACGCGTCCATTTGGATACGATCCGCGCTCTGGTCTCGCTTTCGTTTTTGCATCCCGACCGGGTACCCAGCGTTAATCTTTATTTTTTCCGTTTATTCGTAAAACAAAATAGTTTCGTTAAGGCTTGCTGACTGACGGTTATAGAAAAAGCTCCGCTCCACGTCATTACACGGAATAACGACACATTGACAACGAAAAGTCAACAATAACAAATCAACGACAGCAAAAACCATCAACACGATATTATTTTCGTAATGCGCGATAGTCGTCGCGTAGATTACGACGTCGCGCGTACACGAAAATAATATACGACCGGTACGGACGCACGCGCACGAGCCGGCATGCAATAATACACCAGTTACCGGCGTACCGGGCGGCAATTTGATTTCAGTCCTTTGCTGGGACGGACAGAGTGTCGCGCACGAGCTATCGTCAACGCTCGTTGTCGTACTGATCATAATATTAATATCCGTTTGCTGCAGCGGATCCCGCAAAAACATACTACAGGCCGAGTATTGGGACACGTCGTGACGACTGCAATCCACCGGACGGTTTAATTTATTTTTGTATATTTACTGAATCTCTCGGGAAGCGTGCGGACCCGTAAGCGTTGGCGTCGTCTTCGACACCATGTGATGCCGCCGCGGACGGTGTACGACGGCCGCCGCCGCCACCACCACCACCACAGTCGCCGCTGCCACCCCTGACTCGCAGGGGTGGCGACGGCGTGCCGCCGCGGTCGGTCGCAATGTTCGTCGGGTTCTTCAGAAAACCCGTTGGCCGCCAGTACGTGGCTGCATTTGTCGGTAAGTTGTCTCACGTTATTGTTTGTTTTTTTCTATTATTATTATTATTTGGATGGGGCCTCGGTGTCAATTTTCTGCTTTATACGCGCGTTGCTGACTCGATAATAATAATTTTACGTTAGCGAAAATATCCGAGTTTAAATAGGCGTGCAATACACGGGCGGTGAAGGAATTTTATGGGTTTGGCGAGCGAAAAAAAAAGCCATCAAATTGGCGGCCCCCCCGTCGTCGAATTCATTAGTGACAATCCATTAAAATATAATAAATATTATGTTAGTATTATAGACGGGCATATAAAGGTGTGCGTCCGCACCTGAGCGCATTCGACGAACTCTCGAACGCAAACAGAAAAAATAAAATAAAAATTCTCGTATACGATCGCAGCATGTTCAAACGAGGACTTTTTCGTTTGCGTTCGATACGCCAAAATTCTTCTGAACGATGGCGACGGATCGAGTTTGCCCGAATTATCAACAACGTTCATCGCGCGTATTATATTTATATATATAGGTACATGAATATTTAACGTTCGGACAATTATATTACACCTATATAATAACGTTACGTGTGTCAAAAGGTCATCACTACTGGGCGCGATTTTAAGCCAACTACCGAACGTGATGAGTACACGTCACGACGTTTAATATAATATTTTTTTCGGTACCGCACGCTCGCGCAAATAAAATTATATTATCTACGCAGTTCGGACGTCGTCATCGTCGTATATTTAATCGAATATGCATAATAATTAATTAGGGAGTTTTACGCTTAATTAAATAACTTGTTTAAATTATTAACACAAAGTTTCCGCGCTCCCTTATATAAATTCGATTCGCGAGCGTCATCGTAGTTTTATTAATGATTATATTACGCACCCGCGGGTATACGGCGGCATGGAGAAGATCGTGCAAATAATAATATCATTATCCTCATGATCGTATCGTAATATGTATTGTACGGTTAGGTTAGGTTAAGACGGCCCACGTATATAGTTTATAACGTATTCCGCGATTAAAAAACGTGTTTGTACTGTAGGCAAATAAATAGTATATATATATATATACATTAATAATTAACAAATATTTGATTTCGAAATATCTAAAAAAAAAATTCATAACGCTTGTTATAATCGTCGACTTTAAAGATTAACCAATTATTCTTGTATACTACTGCGTGTACATCACAATCAATAAATAAATTAACACCCGAGAGATTAGACGGGTTTCTCAATCGCAATATTATAATACTTGTAAAAATGGTCTTTTCTTTTAAGAAAACGAATAAATGTAATTATTCCAAATAGGCACGAACAAATTTGAAAATTTGCACGGTAGTGGGGACAAATTATTACTATTGATGATTGTCATCGAAATCCAGTTAAATTCGAATACGGATATTTATACCGTTCGAAACGTTGCACTGTCGATACACGAGTAATATAATATTGCGTGCAAATGTGCATTGACGAATACCGTATATAACATTGCAATAATAGTATACGACAAGGTAAATAATGGCGCAAAGCTAAATGATAATTATAATAAGGCTGATACCGTTGTTGCATAAATAATACCTTGTAACTCAAAAAAGTGATTTTTCCATTGCGTACCTAACCTATAAATATACACCATATTATATTTTGACAATAATATTAATGACGGATATGTGTGATAATGTTTCGACAATTATATTCTCCTTGGATTTTTCGGTTTTTTTTTTTATGTTTTCTCATATTTATCTCATACTTTTGATGATACGAGGTATTCGTACTGCAACAACGATACGTACACAATAATTAGTCTTGATATTCACTGTGAAAAAAAAATGTTCTCTTTTAATCAAGACGCACAATAGTAATGTATTATAGTTGAATCCATTCCGAGTAGGCGGATTCACAACAATCATTGCAATAAATGCGTGACTTCCTACTGTATACACATGTAGGTATACACATGAATTGTATTTATTAACAATTTATATGTGTATATCATAATAGCAATAATATACTATAATTGTTAACAATAACAATTCTATGGCAATAATTTATCTGCCAATTTATCATAATTGGAACGGACGGACTACACGAAATATTTTTCGAGTTCACGATTTCGTTTCATTCAATCTCCATTATTATTATTGTACGGTTGCAATCTCGACCATGATTCGTTGTTAAATATTTTATGATGTTATGCGAGAATAGAAAAAAAAAATTAAAATTAATAAAAAACCGATTAGGGTTTCGGTTAAACATTTTGCAGTTTTCCCGAATATTATAAAATTATTGAAAATCATATTACCCGTAACTTTATAATTTTTAATCTCGATACAATATAATCAATTTTTCGATAATTTGTTTACAGTATTTTTAACATTTAACGTTATAGTAAACTTTTAAAAACCGATTTCATATTACCTTCGATTTTTTAGACTGGTATTTGTATACAATATACATAATAATCCTTATAATGTATAACTATAGCGTCTCACTCACACAATAATATAGTTTTACCGGTTATCTCAATAATACGAAAAATTCGATTGGTTCTTGTGTGAGTAAGAACGAAATCAAATTTCGAATTTGATAACTATATATTATGATTATATTATAAAAAAAAATCCAAAACTATCTTGCAATTTAATACATTTTTAACGTTTAAATACCGTGTCGTATATAATCAGGTTTTGATATTCGTTGATACACTGATTAAATCCGTTTTAAAACGAAATAAACGGATTATTTGTGTAATCCGCTTAATTTTTAATCCAGATTATGTGGATTGGTCATTCCGGCACTAGTATAACATAAGTATGACATATAATATTACATGAATATTCTATATAGATGTAATCGAGGACAATTTTTCTTTTTCATTACGAGTCATCATTTGTATTACACAGATATAGATAAACGCGTACGACGACGTTATACAAAATTAAAATAATAATAAAATCATTATAATAGACGACATACGTACGTTCATGTTATTATTATTTTTTTTGTTTTTTATCAGTAATATACATACCGTATTATATATATTATAATTGATTTCGTTTAGTGATGTTCTCCATAATAGTTTCTTCGTATACATATACAGGGTGATCTATTTACTATGAATAAAGACCGGATTTTGTGCAGCTAATACCTGAAAAATATGCAATTAAAATGCTTAAATGTGCAAAAACATGCAAACTTAAATTTTTGTTGTATTTGACAGTCTGATTTAAATTCAGGATATTTTTCAATCCATCACTTTACTATCTATATTATCTTTATGGTCGTATATCGGTTATATTCATACATCGTTGTTATTTTTATTATACCGTATTATTTTTTGACTTAATAAAAGTCCGGTTAAAATGATTAATTAACATAGATTACAATGTAGTATATGTATAATACCTTTAATAACAGATTAATATGAAAAATAAAAAGACGTCCTAGGATAATGGGGACGGGTGCAGCCACTGTTATAGATAATTTAATGTATACCTGTAAGCAACGATAAACCATTGCTTAGGAAATAACGATTCTGAGCAGAGTTCAGTTGATAATGATGCTTTATCAACAATATATGTCATTTTATAGCAAAATAATTAAATAGGTTTTATATAATAATAGTTGGTATCAATATTTTTGTTAAATTTTGAAAGGTACCTACATATGAATATGTAAAATATTTAAGAAAAATGTATTTACATAAAAATCCGTGCCCTGGTTATAAATAAGTCATAAACGCAGTGATGGCGCCAAAACATTTTATCTTAGGTGGGTCACTTTGAGGCTAATGATTTTTAGGATTGGCAGAATTATATATTGTTCTTTTTATACACAAATGAGCACCTCTCTCCGTTCTTTATCTTTCCCTGTCTTAAAAAAAATAAATGACATATTATGATTATAAGTAATTTAATGTTAGTAAAAAAATATTTTTCGTGATACAACTTTACTCTTTTCAAATTTATAGTTGAATAACCAACATTTCACAGCACATTAACAAAAACATTATTAGTTGTGTCTATATATTGTAACTGTCTTTTTTTAAAAAAAACCCGAAAGTTTACAAACCGATAACTTTACTTGTATTTATATATTAACAAAAGATAATTTCCTCTGTGCTACGGGCAATTTCAAACAAATTGTAGAAAGTTAAGAATTAAGGATTCATCATTATTATGTATTTGTAACATCAATATTTGGGTTCAAAATATATTTATTAAATGGTCACGTCGAATTTCGTAAAAAGAATCTAATTTTTTTTTATTTTAGTTTTTTAAAGAACACAACAAATTTAAAACGGAGAATCTAGGAATTTTTACAAGAAAAAAAAAATTTAAAAACATTGAACAAATCAAAAGATATTTAGATGCCAGATCTTCATATTGGACCTTACTAGTGCAAGGTCCAAATGAGTAATCGCAGTAAACATATTAGGTAGGTACCTATTAGTAAGATGAAGGAATTCACCTTTTAATCTATAACACTCCCTGTGGAAGGAGATCAAAATACTTCCATGGTACCTATTATTGTCGTAAGAAGTAACAATTGGGTTACGTTAAGTTTAAAGTTGATAGCCGGTGAAAAATTGTGTCAAATAACAAAATACATTTTTAGCCAAAGACGAGACGAAGGAGAAAAAGAAGAACTAAGTTAAACATAAAAAAACCGCCACCTCTTAGGGGTTGAATTTGGAGATGAAAAGTAAACTTCTTCCTGTTTTGAAGATCAAGTGTACGAAATATTATCGTAATAATTGGAATAAAAATGTAAATTTCTACAAAAAGCCATTGATTATTACATTTGTTAGACCTCCGTGGACATTCTGTATAATATTTTTCGTTAATATATTATATTAACTAAAACAATTATTTGTGTATTATCGGATATTCTCTATAATTTGTTATGCATTTATATTTTGATAATACAACAAATTTTATTGTTCTTTGATTGATTGCGTTGACAAGTGTTACTTGTTGGCAATCTTGTTTAAAACACTTTTGACAAATGTGTTCAAAATACATTTTTAAATACTTGTGTAAATTGTATTCGAAATATATACAAATTTAAAGATATTTAAATGCAAGGATTTGAATAAAAATAAAAAACTTATTAAAATGTTTAAAATAATTTTTCTTTTTTTTTTATAATACTTTTAATACGCTTTGAATGATTTCCGCATTCAAAAAATTACAAATAAACGCTTAAACTTATTAAGAGTATTTATAAAGAAGGTTCGAGAATTTCAGATGTCGCATTATTAGCATATTTTTTATTATTGGTCGACTTTAACATTATTAAAGAGTTATTTTAACAGTTATTGAGTCATAACAATACATTTTGAAGAAATCATATTACAAATTCGTAGAACCATTATAAAATATTATTTAAAAAATCAATTAACTTTCTCTGTTTTCCTACGTTTTTGCACAATTATTGAGAAAACAATAATGAAATTAAAAATCAAGCTTTTCGTGTACAAGCTAGATCCAAAATTCCACAAGGACGCTGTCTTGTCATTTTTTGATCGGAGTAAGATTTCTGGTAGAAAAGTTGTTAATATCAAAAAAAAAGCTGATACTAGGTAAGGGTGTGGTCACTGTTTTAGGTGTGTAGAGGGAAAGGTGGGATATATAAAGTTATTTAATTTATACCTGTAATTAGCGATAAACCATTAATAATGGATATAACATGTTTTGATAGGCCGTAATATTTACGATTTTCATCAATATTTAATTTTTAAAACTTATAAAGAAAAAAAAACTACATTGAACTAAATAATTTTTTTTTATCACTAAGTACAAGTGCAGCAAAAAAGGTCTCTTATCGTTTATCTATTGGATCAATATTTCTGGTAGAAAACATCGTGTAACATAATAAAAACAAAGAAAACGGTAACGCCGCAGCGCATCATAAATATTTACCGTTTTACCGAGACTTTTCTTTCGGGGTTTTCCCTACTATTTTGAAAATCCCTTGAAAAATTAATCTGTAGTGCACCAACTAGACACAATTTACTCTCAGAAAAATACTTATACTTTTTATATCGGAGCAAAATTTCTTTTCGAAAAGTTGTTTACAGATAGAAAAAAAAAAAAAGGCACACCAATTGTTAAACTAATAAATCCCTCGTTACGTTCGGACGTTTTTGGGAAATCTAAAATACAAAAAAAAAAAAAACGCTCATATCATAGTTAAATAAATACGAAATCGTACATCGATACGATTATTATACGGTATTATAATTTACTATACCTTTTTTTTTTTTTTTTTTTAATTAGTTGACTAGTTATCTTAATTATCATAATTATTTATTTGTTTTAATTTTACTAACTTTATCTATAACATTTCTCACGTTATCTAAAGTCGAATATGTCATATGAAAATTAAATTAATCGATACGATCAGAATCTAAAATGTGGGTGATAAAATTTGTAAAAATTACAGCTTTCTCTTGTATCTTTTAATTGGTTTAAGATTCTGGACGGAGAGAGGAAAGTTTCGGTTTTACAATGATGTTTACTATTTTTATTTTTTCATACTGTGTACGACAATTTCACCAGAAATCTTTCTATGAAATATCAAATGTATCATCTGTTCTGAAAGGGAGTTTATTTTTAATTTTCCCAAAAAAAAACCGGTAAACAGTGTAAGAAAAACGAATAAATTTGCGAAAATAATACTTTACTTTATTATTTTAAATTTTGTTTTTTGAATATTATTATTTAGTGAAAAAAATACTCAAGAGTATATACGTTACAGAACACACGTAAAGTTATTACTGATCTAAAAGTTTTATCGTATAATCATATACGATGAAATTAGAATAGCAGGTAGTTTAATTTATGTCTGTACGCGACGATCAAACGCTATTAACGAAAAAATATTCGGATGAGCGATGTTCGGAAAACATCTTTTGCACGTTTTTGTAGCGGAATTCTCACTTCGATTACCGGTTATTTTTAGTTACAGTAATTTTTTGATTTGTCAAATTGGTACATTACATAAGAAATTTTTTGATTTTCAAAGAGGTTTTCGAAATAATCGGAAAAACTGAAAGAAAATTATAGGTAAAACGGCAAATATTTACGGCGCACCGTAGTACTATCATTGTAAATCGGAGCAAAAATGCTGGTAGAAAAGTCATTCATAGGGAAAAAAAACTGACATGATTTTCAACTAATAACTAGATTTCGAAAATTTATTTTCCTCTGTTTTTTTTTTCGGTTTTTCTTATTTGTTGAGAAAACTCCTGGGAAAATCGTAAAGTAACGCTCCATTCAGAATCTAAAATTTGACACATAACTAATTTTTTTATCTTTTTTATTTATGGTATTTTCTTAAAAACTTTGTGTTTTGTTTTAATGGTAATTTGAGAGTTATTCAAATACGCTATCGCTTATCAGAGCATATGAATTTAAACAATATAAATCGAAAAACGAGTGTGTAATATGCAGCACATAATAAATTAAAATATGAGTATATTATGTACTTTTATAGCACTTAAAAGCTACATACTGCTAATATATGTTCTAAGAAGTAAAAAACTGTAAAACATAAAAATATGTGCAACATAAAGTTTAAGATTTAGATTCCTTCCATGATGAGCAGTATTTACAATTAACACGACTATACTGGTTAATACGAGTATTTTAAAAATAATACAAAAGTGTTAGAAGTCCCAAACTCTAGCTATAAGTTTATATTATTTGTGCCCATATGAAATATGATTCCTGAAACCACCTTTGATAACTTGGTGTTTTATGAATAATACTAGATTGTATTGACTCAGTATTGTCGGTAACATAAAATATATATATATATATATATACAATTAATGCACTTTTATATTCGAATTTATTAAAATACGTTTAACTGAACTTCGTTCAGAATTGTTTTTCATATGTAACATATATATATCTATGGTAGCTTGTATTTCGTACCACTTCCCACTCCATGACATGTCCCCACCCGTGGTGTGAATTATATTGTTTTTTTTTTTTTTTGTAGTTTATTGTTGGAAGTTGAAAATCAAGTGCACCGCTCGTTTAAGAACATTTAAAAAATGCAGGCGTTAGAGAAATTTTCATATAATTTTTTTTCCACATGTATACCCGCATAGATTCGGCTGAGATTTTCAATATAAAAATAAACATTTTTGAGGACGTATAAGTCGTCCACGGCTTAAATGTTTAGAATATCAAAAGCCGCGTATCATAAATCAAAAACTGTTTTTTCAACCCTGTTTCTGTCCCTGTCTCTTATGCTGCATGCAAGCAAATCCCTTTTGACCACGGAACGGGGTCGTGAAAAACATTGGCGGTGACGCCCGCACTACCCCGTATATAGGAAAATTCCATTAACCCATTACGAGTTAATGGCCGGTGTGCTCTGGGCAGCACAAAACCATCCCTTCGGGTAAACTGTTCGCAACACACGGTGGCCTACATCATAATTTCGTGTAAAGGAAAAAAAAAACGGTTATTTTATCACGATATAATATAGCTAGTGGTCGTCACCTATTGGCCTCACTTTAGCACCAGGCTATTTGAGTCCATTAACCGAATAACACTATTATTTTTTTTTTTTTTTAAATACCTATTTGCTAAAAAAATATTTATTGAGATTTCAGGTATTATATGATACAATTTATAATAATAAAATAATATACGGGTATTAAATAGAAAAATTGTATTTAATAGAAACAAAGTAGTAAAATATTTTGATAACCTAGGTACGTTGATATATTTTTTATAAAAATCTCAAATTATTAATCTCTAATTTATCTACGTGATAAGAGCAAAATACCGGTACCGTAAATTCGTATTTGTAGCACGTTTTTACGTACATATTTACTTTAATTATCTAATTGTCAAATGATCCCATTAACCGATATATGAGTCTTATAAATTGACGAAATGTTTGCTGTGTATTAGTATACGTGCACATCGGGACCAGCCGTTTTGAAGCCTAATAAGCGAATGAGTCAATTAATCGCGAGTCCAATAAGCGGCGAAATATACAGAGTGAGAACGATTTATTATTTATCACGATCTAACGACTGGAATATTATTTATACGAAGATTTAGAGTAAAATAGATGTTGGTATTATTTTTTCAATTTTTATTCACGGAACCATTTGATGATTTTAAATTTAACATACATTTCATAAGGATTAGCCGCAAAAACCATCGAGTTTTGATTTTCAAATCGTAGATAATCATCGTATCGTGATGAAAAATCTTGCTGTATATCTATATACAATACACATACTGCATTATATAGTATTACGTAAACACCGTTGTCAAATAATCATTCATGCAACTCATCTCTGTTGTCTGTTATTCAAAACTGTCATGATGAATTTTCCTCAAGGATTTCTGTTGGTTTCATGCGCGATATATTATAATATATTAGGATGATGAGTATAACGTAAGACATTCATTATCTTGGATCAACCTTTTTTGAAATCATTTAAGAAATAATTAGTACCTAATTTTGATTTTTAAATGACAACCTATATTAAAAATTCCATAAATAGATAGAGTATTAGTCCGAATCAATTTTGGTCTTGTAGTTTTTAATATTTTCAACCTGTTGGCGAGGGGAGAGTAGTGATGCATCGTTTATGTGGTGGCACAGCACGCGGCGTTGTAACAGTGTTCCGCCACTCACCCCCACCTAAATTTAAAAGCGTAAAATCTCGTCAATGGATTGACGTAAATCAGTAATATTAACACCAAAATTTAATTTAAACCAATACTCCATATATTTATGGAATTTTTAGTATAGTTTGCCATTTGAAAATCAATAGTAAGTAATGGTTTTATCCCTTGAAACATGAGTAACAAAAAAAAAATTAACTGTATTAATTTAAAGCTACTTATTTTTTTAAATGTACTGAAAAACAATATTTCGAAAAAAATTAATATTATTCGATATAATGAGTGTCTCACATTATGTTGATCACCCTGTATACAGGGTGTCCCGGTTTTCTCTCCCCAACACCTTTCGACTTTCGTCCGTAGATCAGTGTGGTTTTTCCTGTACCCTAACGGATATTATTATATATTATGGTAGGTAGTAACTCCTGGTTTTCCCTTCCCGATTTTTAATAGCCAAACACCGACGGTTTCGCATACAAATACGTGCGTAAAAAGACGCCACAGACGGCTTTGTAAAAGCGAAAAATACGCGCAGGCCGTGAATTTATATTTCCATTTGGAAATCGTTATATTTATTCCTAGCTGCAAGTTATACCTTACCTCGTATATTATAATATTATATTATATTTGCGACAGAGCGGCGGCGGGCAAGTGGTTTTTGTGTGCGGTTTTTTCGTAACACCGGATGTGAAAAATGGACGAAATAATCAAAAAGTTCGTGAAAAGTTAATATCGCTCGGTTGTTTTTAGCCGGCTCCTGCAGTTAAATCCGGCCGCCACCACGCCGACCCCCTCCCTCCCTGGTCGACTCGTAAATCTTCTCTGTACCAACGTACCTACTGCACAGCCACACAACTTTTTAACCACAAAAAAAAAATGTTTTGTGTTTTTTTTTATATTCCGTAGTATATATTACATTACAATAGTAGACACAATAATACAATACACGAAACTGTTTGGCTGAGTAGTTTTTTTCAACAACTTAAACAGTTACTAATTAGTTTAATCCGTATAATATCATATAATATACGTTGAAAAATATTTTTAAATTTTTGATGGTTAGCAAAGAATAACTATTAGTTTTGATAAGATATATTTTGTTTTTTTACTCTCTCGAAGAACACTTTTTCCGGGTAATATAAAAACGCTTCAAATTATTGACATCATTATTGATCTTCAATAAATACGAAATTTTTACTATTGGTAGTTTACTTTGAAATTTGTCTAGACTCCCAACAGTTTCTCATTCATTTCTCGGGTTACCATGATTACAAGGGTAAATATGACGTACGTACTTTGACCGATGGATGGACCACTGTTGTAAATGAAAAGTTGGGAAAGTAGGATATTGAGGAAAATTGAATGTATGTCGGTAAGCTAAGATTAACCATGGCTAAAGAAAAACGATTCTGAGTGAAGCTCGGTTAATAGTATTGCTTTTTCAACAATATGTCATATTATAATCAAATAGATGTATATTGAAACAATTTGTATGGACTAGTAACTAGATTATTTCCACATAATTTTTACTAAAACGATTCTTGTCAAAATTTGATATTAAGATTCTTAAAAAAAAAATAATTCTACATTAAACACATTTTTTTTTGTTTTGACCACAAAGTATGACCTATAATGAACCCCCCGTCAAATTTCTAAGCATTTCTAACAATTTTACTCACAGAATACCTACCAAATAAAAATTACTCACATAATTAAAATGCCTAAATAGCTTGAATATAGCTCAAATGTGTTTACAGTTTTACCAAGTCAAATAAGTTGTCTGTACCAGTTTAAAGTTACTATGAATATATTTTTAACTAAATTATAAAACCATTATTTTCGTAAATTTTCGTATAACAAGATTAAATCATTATGTTAATCCACTGGCCATACAATTATTAGACAATGCCAAAAAACATTTGACGCCTTAAGCGTCTGAAATCATACGACTTAGTTTAAGAATATAAATTATAGATAGGGCCACTTCATTGAAAGTGTGACTTCATCAACCTATAAAGTATATATTAACATCTAGTATGTAACATACATATATGTATAAAGACTTTCAAGTCGTTTGAAAAATAAAGCCTCGAGGTATTTGAAAAAAAAAAAAAAATAATAATATTTGTTTAATATTGTACCGATTTTCTTGCGTTTTTCTCGGTTTTCTCATGTTTTTTCTTGGTTTTTCACATTTGCTGAGAAAACTTGGACAAATCAAAAAATGACCTCTCTAAGATACTATGGAAATACAATTTCCTTTTAGAACATAAATTATAGATATAGATATAGATATATCTGAGCAAGATTTTTGTTAGAAAAGTTTGCACAACAAATAGAGGGGTATTTTGCAATCAAAATAGTCTAAGCGAGCGATAGCTTGGGTCTCTAGGTACACCCAAAATGCATTTGTTTTTCCTTGTTTAGGTAAAAAACACAAACAATTTTTTTTGAAACACGGGTTTGAACTCACGAAATCTAGGATGCAAATAGGTATGCTCGTTTTTTAATTGGAAATATTTGTGTTAGAAATCGTGGTAGGTGCTTATTTAAAATAACGAAATCATAAAAAAAAACGTATTGTTTTTCCTGGTTAATCATTTTAATTTTAAATATCGTTTCGAAAATCAAAAAATAACCAAGGTATTTACCTTATAGATAAAATTGACTTAAAAAAAGGAAAAAAAATCATCTGATGATTTTGAAAATTGTATTACGTCTAGGTAAGTTAAATATAAATATTATTGCCAAGTTTCAAATCTCTATGTGTATTTATAACCGAATTACAGCAAAAAAAACTCCCAAAAATTAAAATTCCTTAAAAGCTCAAAAGTGGCTTAAAACTTTTGGCGATGATACCATAAGAAATTAAATCAAAAAGTCAACAAAAAAAATATTTAGTGATTTTTCGATTAAATTATTTTTCTGGTAGAGAACTTCGTCTGTGGTATTTTAAATTAATTAAATCATGAAATTTTACGTTTTCGTACGTTTTTTGCCACTTAGGTGCTTTTATTTAAAAAATATCACCGAAAAAAGTTACCACCCATAATTTCTATCTATAATTTCCTCCACGGAACATCTGTGTAAGCAGATTCCGGAACACCATAGGATTAGGATGACATCTATCACGTTCAAAAGTTTCCTGCAGTATTTAACCAACAACAAATTGTGGTTGCGCAGACGAACAAGAAGACTCAAGGCTAGATTCTTTGGCTTTTAAAGTATTAATTTACTTAAAAAGCATGGTATTTTCAACTTTAATCTCAATTAATTTAATGCAGAGGTTAAGAAGTTAGTCAGTCTGGTGTTTAAATCCTCATATTGAGATGCTTGGCGATGAGAAGAGACTTTATTAGAGGCTAATATTTCAGACTTGAAGGACTTGAGAGCGGCCATAAGGTCTGCATTAGAAATGGACGTAGATATAGTGCGAGTGGATGAAGCTTTGACGGTAGGTTTAATGGGTGTGCTGAGTTTTTGTGGCATATCGAAACTTAACTGATTCAAATAAACCCGCGTCTTGAAAAGTACTTGGATGCACACGAAAGTTAATCAACCACTTCAACACTTTGTAGACTGCAGCGTAAATCACTACGCACACTATGTATGTGAGGAGAAAAACTGTGGGTTGTAGTAAAGACGCTCAGCCAGCAGTGTCACATAGCAGGTAAGCGTCCTTGAAGCGAATTACGAGTTAATCGCTATAAAGGTCGTTAACGAATCGATAACGGTATATGCGTGTCGATAAGGTGATGATGGAATAAAAACTTACGTTTCAGTAGTGGCCGTGTAAAGTTAATGGAAGCAATATTTTGTCATATTATAATAAAATGATTACAACAATGTGCGTTTCCATGACAATGATTGTTTAAAAAAGATTTAAATAATAAAAACTTAATATTAACAAAAAATAAATAAAAATGGTTGCCAATGGCAATCTTATTTTTAATCTTTCACCCTTTTTTAAACTAAAGAACCTGGTTTTCCTCATTATCTCGAATGTTATTAAGAATTTCAAAAAAACACATTTTTAAAGTACCACTCAGAGGATATTTTCTTTCAGAAAAGTTGCTATACTTGATTATCGGAGTATGCTTTTTGGTAGAAAGTGTTCACATAATAAAAAAAATAATAATAAACATCTTTTTAAAACCAATGCATTCTTCGCTCCTTTTAGAATCTACAAAAAAAAAAAAAACCAGAATGATTGAAAATATACTACATTTAGAAATGTTTAGGTTTTTTAACCCAAATTTTCGGGTTAAAACCTTCTGGCCGGACAAAATAAATTTTCCAGGCTAAAATATTATCCCAGTAAAGCTTAACACGTGAATGGAAAAAACAAAAATCATGAATTAGGAGTAAAATCATCTTATTAACCCAGCTCAACTATGGGAATTGGTAATTTAAAATCCGGATCTTAAAAAAAGCCTTTTGATATTTCGAGTCTTGTTTTTGAGCAGACCAAATTTCCAAAAACTTTTTAGTTGAATTGCTAACGTTTAAAACAAAACTATATATTTATGAATTGATTATATTTTTACCTTGCCAATATACGACTCTCGTACAGTTTTGAATCGAATAATTGCGTACAAACTTATGAATTTACATTATTTCCACAAAATAATCTGAAATTAAAATAATAATTGTTATTAATTTGTATTAATTTATTCAATAATAATAATTATATAAGTATTTAATTTTGGCCACCCATAATAAATGTACAATTTAATCAAATTAAATAATATTATATTATACATATCAAATATAACAATTATTTTAAATATTCACTGGCAATAAATTTTATCGATTCAATGACATCATTTGAAGAGGGTGGGGGATTGAATATTTTATAGTATTGTAACAAGTTGAATTTCGGCTAATTTCTGGCTTTTGTATATGTGAACAATTTGTCAATATATCAAAAAACGTTTTAGATATAATAATATTTTGTTCGCATCTTTCTCGCAGATAATAGGTAATATAATAGTGGTCGAATCTTCGGTTTTCCTATTTGTCGATCGATTTGCTAGTTTGAAAATCTAAAATACCTTTTAATAATGAAGGTTAGGTGATACAATTTTTAATTTCTGAACTTTTTTTAGATTATGAGTAGAGTGAGTAATGTATTGGTTTTACAATGATGTTTATTATTATTATTTTTTTATGTGAACACATTTTCTACCAGAAAGTATAGTCCAATTATCAACTATAATACTTTTTCTGAAAGGAAAGTTTCTCTGGGTAGTGCTTTAGAGAGGTCCTTTTTTAAATTCTCATTAATATTCGAGATAGTAAAAGAACCAAGGTTCTTTAGGTTAAAAAAGTTTGAAGATTAAAATTAAGATTTTCAGTGGCAACAGTTTTTATTTATTTTTTTTTATATTATTAAGTTTTTGTTATTTTAATATTTTTTAAATAATCAGTTGTCATAGAAATGCACATTGTTGTAATCATATTACCATAATATGATATATATCATATAATGTATTGTGAACAAAGCAATACTGTCAACTAAACTCCGCTCAGAATCGTTTTTCGTTAGCAATGGTCTATCGTTGCTTACAGCTAAATTCCCGTCTGTATACGATCTTCCCAACTTCCCAGTTACAACAGTGGCTGCATTCATATGCAATGTATGTCCATCTTTTTTGTGATCTACTTTTCTACCAAAAATCATTTTACAATTAAAAAATTATATGATACCTTTTTGGTTGAATTTTGAATCTAGTTAGTTATTATTTCCACATCTACGTCCTTTTAAAAAGACAATTTTGTCTAGTTAATGTGTAATTTTTGATTTTCTAAGCGGTAACAATAAAATTGGAAAAACCTGAATTTGATTAGGACCAGTTTTAGACGATAAATACAAATTCTACTGTGTAAATCATTTGAACTTTTCAACGTGTCCGGCTCTAGGTACCGAGTATTTATAAAAATAAAGTGCCTATATTATTGTACAAGTTAACTATACAAACTTCGCACGTCAATTGTCTATGTGGGTTCGATGATGTGAGTTTACAAACAAAACTCTATTATAAAAGTGCTGAGTTTGTGTCACGTGCGTGTGTATAAGTATACAGGGTGTCCTATAGTGGTATCCTTATTCTTTATGCTCATTTTTTTTTCCATTTGGGTTTTGTGTGAGAGGGACACATATATAGAAAAAAAAATTAAATTTTTATTTTCAGCTCTTACTGAAAGAAAATCCCTTTATTTTTCCACTTTTTAAAATTTTCAAAATAACCATTTTGTAAAATATATATTTTTAAATAATAATTATTTAAATATAATTTTTAAAAATTTGTTTGCACCGTACATTCATATCCGATTAAAAGTTTCTTAGTACACTATAGTATTCAATAAGCGTGAAAACAAATAGTATTCAATAGAAGATAAGAAATTACACGCTGATTGTGATCTCTTGCAACGCAATGTGTTATTCTATTAACAATTAATTGTTTTCATTCCAATTTTCTAGAAATTTAACGTATACTACTAAGAAACTGTTGTTTAAATATGAATGCATATTAGCAATTAATGTAATATAATATTACATTAAAATTTGTAGAGCAATATCTTTTACAAAATGAATATTTTTTTTACTAATTAAGAGATGAAAATAAAAATTACAGTTCTCTCTACAAAAGTATTCTTGCACAGACCCGATTGAAAATAAAATGAATATTGACAGATTTAATGGCATAAGGATAACACTGTAGGACACCATGCTTACTTATTTGAAGTCTTTATTCTATGGAATAATTTGATGACCACCTATAATATATTTGTAATAATAATAATTATAATAATTTGATTATATTAAATTTGTTTGTACTTTGGATTTAACTACTTTTTCATTTTTAGATTTTTACTTTAACATTGTTTTTTAACGTATAATAGACACGTTAATATTATTCTCGCTTATATTATATGATGTATAAATTATAAACTAATAACAATGAGTCTGGTGATGCTGTAAACTTTCCCGTGTTTCCTACGTTTTTTTTTCAAATTATTGAGAAAATTACATGGAAAATTAAAAAAAAAATTACTAGATAAAATTTTCTTTTGGACAAAGTGTTGTTCTTAAAACTTGGAGTAAGATTTCTGATAGAAAACGAAAATAGTAAAAAATAAAATTAACGTAATTGTTACGCCTTAATTATTAGTCGTTTTTTCCGTTACGGTATTTTCGTAAAATTTTCCTAATTATTATGAAAACAGCCTGGAGAATTAAGAAATGATAAACACAATGCGTCAACTAGATCCAAAATTAACGATAAATGCCACATGTCAGTTTTCGATTAGAGTAATATTTCCAGTAAAAAATTGGTTTACAATTGGGGGGAAAAAAAAGAACACATCATAATATTATAACCAACACATTGGCTCGTATCTCAGTCTAAAATTCTAAAAAAGATTTATGTTGATCATATATTATAATATGATGATAAGAGGTTATTCGTTTTATATTTGTAAAAAAAAAAAAATTATAATATTAGGTACCTATATTATATATTTATATATTTTATTGAAGCGGCTTCCTTTGTCATGCACATAGGTATATACACTCAAGAGGTCATGGATATTAAACTTGAACTCCCTGCTGCTGCAGGTAGGCATTTGAAAAAAATACTCATCTTTATTCCCATCCGAAAATTCTCAATACCTTTGTGAAAAATTTGCTGTTATTATTATTATATTTCTCTCCCCTCTCCATTCTTCTACTCTTTCTCGCCCGTCGTTTCATTTTACCGGACCGTCTAAACGAATAAATAGAGTTCAAGTACGGTCACATACTCGTATATAATATAAAATAAAAAATAAATAAATCACCAATCTCGCGGGTCATTGATGTTTTTATATACATTAAAGTCGAACTGCTATCGTTACCCGACTACGCACACAATATATTCGTCGAAAACCCCCATGACGTATATATAAATATATAACAAACAAATGACCATCAATGTCCGTTTGATTTCAAAATACCACCAAATAGTTGTAAATGAATTACAAATAATTACAAATCGAGTTTCATTAATTGTAAATCTTTTTTTTATATTTTTTATCAATTTTTTAATTTTTTGAACAAACGTGGATTGAGCACAGTCAAAATTTAATTGGTTTGCGTATGCGCATATATATTTTCATTATCTCTACTCGTATAAATATGTTGTGTTCTTTATGGCTAGAGCCTAGAATTATAAAATGCGTTTGAAATCAAACTGTTTTCATGGACCAAATTTTATTTTGCATATCGATGTCATATTTGAAAGGTTAAAGTATTTTTAGTTATTGTATAATTTCCATATTTTTTATACTCTGAATAAATAAATTAGGTATTTTCTCTTTTCACATTTTGTTTCCCTATAAAGACGAGAATTAATATGTTGTTCATCAATTTATTAATTTAAAAGTTAAGATTATCATCATCAAATTGTTAGTAATCGAAAATTATATTTTTAATATTAAATTGCTGTCAGAGAAATTAAATAATTATGTAGGTAGTAGTTACTATGTACCATGGTTTATGATAGACTTCAAATGTAATTTAATATATAATTATTTGATATAAATATGAAAAAAGATTTACAATTATTTGCAATTATTTAGTGGTATTTTAAAGTCGAGCGGACAAAGTGGGGGGGCCAACTTCATAATAGTAAACAAATGCGCGCTTTGTTTTAAACTTCGTATACCTAACCCAACCGTTTTATTTGATCGTTTTAAATCAAAAACAAACAATATTACGGAATTCTTCCGAATTTCACGTTACGGTCTTTTTTTATTTAAAAAATTATTTATGTTAAAACTTTTTGAATACATATATTCTAATTTTCTTTTGCCTTTGTTTTTTAGATTGAAACTACCTCTCACTTTTGATTTTTAACCTATATTAAAAACTACATAAACAGATAAAGTTTTAGTTTATATATAGTTTGTCATAAAATATTTAATTTCCGTCAACCCGTCTACGAGGTATTACAATTTTAAGATAGGGTAGAGGGAAAGTAATGGAACTAATAATGCTTCATTACTCTTCTCCTACTCTAACTTGAATGTGAAATATATCGTCAACACGTTGACGGTAGTTAAAAATATTAACATTGAAATGTATTTAAACAAAAATGTCACCTATTTATGTAATTTGTAAAAGAAGTTGTTATTTGAAAATCAGTAGCGGGCAGTGGTTTTAACCCCGAAAATAAATGATATATGAAGGCAATATATCATTTTAGAATATTTGATTCCGAAAATTATTTTTACACAAGTAATTTTTTGAAAAATCAGCATTTCTTGGACATATTGACTGTAACGTGAAATTTAAAATTCTCTGTATGTGCAGTGGCTCTTCGGTTACGGCAATTTGAAATTCCGACGAATGTCTGTTAAACATAATCACACTGTTGAATTATACAACATTTTCTAAGACTTGGAATTAAAATTAAAATTGTATTCACTACCCAGCTACACATACTAATATTACGTATTCGTTATGATTTTCAGCTTCGCTGTCCGTGATGATGGCTGGCACGTCGTTCGGCTGGCCGTCACCCGTATTGGCCAAACTGGCTAATGGCAGTCTGAAAATGGAGGCGACCAACGAACAGCAGTCGTGGATGATCGCCATGTTGGAGCTGGGTAACCTGCTGTCACCGATACCGTTCGGGGTGCTGGTGGACTTGGTGGGCCGAAAACCGTGTCTGCTCATGACCGGCCCACTATATATAATCAGCTGGCTGATGGTGTTGAGCAGCAAGACGATCGGCGTGCTGTACTGGGTGCGGCTACTGCAGGGTGCGTGTATAGGCATCGTCACTACGGTGGTGCCCATATACATCGGCGAAATAGCCGGCGACAATATACGTGGTGCGCTCAGCACGTTCTTCAACGGCATGCTCAACGCTGGTATACTGTACGTGTACTGCGTCGGGCCGCTAGTTTCGTACGACGTGCTCACGTATTTTTCGTTGCTAGTGCCGTGCGTTTTCCTGGTAGCGTGTGTATGGATACCCGAGTCACCGTATTACTACGTTATCAAGGACAACGACAAGAAAGCACACGAGGCGTTGGCGTGGCTGCATGGCGGCCGCGGAGTTGCGGAACCGGATGCGGTGTTGCACGAGCTGTTGCACATCAAGACCGAGGTGAAAAACGAACTACAGAACAAGGGCTCGATGCATGACCTATTCGGATCTCAGTGCAGCAGGAAGGCGTTCGGCATCGTCCAGATTGTGGCCGCGGCTGACGTGCTATCCGGCATGACCACAGTGCTGGCATACGCGTCGTCCACGTTCGCACACGCCGACACGGTCCAAACGCTGTCGCCCGACCAGTTCACCATGCTGTTGGGGGTGTTGATATTTTGCACTACGTTCGTCACCGGGTTTCTGGTGGACAAACTAGGTCGTCGGCCGCTGTTGCTATTTTCGTGTTTCGGATGCGGTGCGTTCGAACTGGTTACCGGCATGTACTATTACAAACGGTGGGGCAGCGTCGAATCGTTGGGCGCCTGGATCCCGTTCACGGCCATCGGGTCATTCGCCGTCATTTATAGCATAGGGCTAGGCCCACTATTGCCCACACTCCAGGGTGAGATGTTCCCGTCCAACGTCCGGGGGTTGGCCAGCGCCATCACGTCCGTCACGTTGACCGTCATATCGTTCATTGGACTGAAGATGTACCAGGTGATCACTGACAACTGGGGCATACACGTCAACTATTTCATCTACGGTACCGGGTGTCTGGTGTCGTTCATACTCATTTACCATTTTCTGCCGGAAACTAAGGGCAAAACGTTCGCGCAGATTCAAAGCGAAATCATGAAGACCATCGATGATCCCCAGTCACCTCCGACGCCCGTCGAACTTGATCATTCGCGTCGGCGAAAGTCAAATAACGTGACCATGACCGGCATATAATATAATTACGCCTAATAATATATAATATTGGCCTGCAGTTGGCCGAAACGTTGTTATTTATGACTTTTATTTTGTTGTTTTTTTTTTACGTTTTCGCCCGATTTGTATATTTGAAATTATTTATTATTTATGAATTATAATTAATTAGAACGAGGTACCTATAATAATATATTGTATCGTATAGTTTAGTAAGGCACGTACTGAATCCGAAACATAAGTAGGCTGTATGCCCGGTTAAATACTTTTAATCTTTAACCAGCACGTTAAAATATAATATTTGTTGTATCAATCGGATGAGGGGGAAATTCAACGGGCCGTTATCACGGACATTGTTCACGGTTCAAAACTCGAAAATATAGCAATGATCAATAATATGATATACGTATATAAGACACGTCCCGCAGCATATAGAACCGAAAACGCGCAAAAGGACGCGCGTGCAATTTGATTGACAGTTATCCTCTATATAATTTATAGTATTATTATTATATTCGTACCTACGTGAAAGCGCTCCGGTTCGGTTTGAATCCCAAAGAGGGATAAAGTTTTGGAAATTGCGTTAAGCCTCGGTTTACTCACCTCCATCATCCGTCCCTACGAAAACAACGTACACGGCCACACGTGGAGAGCGACGAAGACAGAAGAGACCCTAATCAATCATAAACGATGTTTAGTGACATATTCAGCGCGACGAACAAGAACCGTTATCTCGCGATTTCGATCGAAAACAATATAATATATATATATATATCCGTACATCAAACCTACCTGCCTGGCCTATACCCATGTTAAACAAAAAAAAGACCAAACAAAAACCGAAGAAAACTTTATGTTAATCGTTGTTTTTTATACGAGAAAATTTATACTATTTTTATTCCTACATAATATATTACACATCGAAAATAACCGGGAAAAAACGTGGAAAAAACGGGAAAATTAGACAATATTAAAAATGATTGTTAAAGAAAAAATTAATATTACATATGTAATTATTTTACCATAATATAACATACATTTTGTTGATAAAGCAACACAATTAACCGGACTCTGCTCAGAATCGTTTTTTTCGTTAGAAATGGTTAATCGTTGCGTACAGTTAAACATTAAATTTCTCCTCTACCCTCCCAACTTCTTACCTAAAATAGTGGCCCATCCACGTGCGAAGTATGTCCGTATTTTTTATAATCCTTTTTATGATCAAATCTTTATGAAAATCGTAAATATTACGGCCTTTCAAATCATGTATAAACGAACTTCGCACAGAATCGGATTTCGTTAGCAATGGTTGATCGTTGCTTACAAATATAACTTGAATAACTTTATGTATTCTACCTTCCAGACTTTCTTCTACAAAATTAATGTACTAATTAGCAGTATCATCTCTTTTAGATTCTGAGTGGCGGGAGGAATGTATTAGTTTTCCTATGATGTTTATTTTTTTTTTTATATTTTAGATTCTGAACATATTTTTTTTTATACTGTGTACAAAAATTTTACCAAAAATCTTGATCTGAATGTACGTGCAGCACTATTTCAAAAAGAAAATATTGTTTATAGATAGTACTTTAAGGAGATCATTTTTTGATTTTTCAAACGGTATTCATAATATTAAGAAAAACCCGGAATAAAATGTTAAAAAAATGGGAGACTTGAAATTTAGACAGAGAATTTACATTTAATTTTTCTAGATGTGGTAAAATTTTCAAAACATTTTAGCTATTTTTGAACTATTTATAAACATTTTAATTTTACGAGTTTTGTATGTAATTTGTATTCAGTATATTATTATCTATATTAAAAATGTTAGACTCAACAGGAATGCTTGAACATTTAACAGAAAATTCATTAAACCTAGAGCACACATGCTTCACGGTCTAAAAGACTTGGTTTTTTGAATTTTGTTCATTGTTTCGAAAATACAGACTATTAACCTAACCCAACCTAAGTAACATCTAATTAGGTGATAAACTAAAATTAGATACTCCTAACTGTATACGTTCTGATATCTGTAAAATAGAAGGATTCAAAGTTCATTACCTATACAAATATGGTCTAAAAGACAGAAAGACAGTGTGCGTGTTTTATTGTGACATTTATAAACAATTTAATTTTATGAAAACTCAATTGTAATTTTTTTTTAAATTGTGTTTCCTAATAATTTTTAGCCGATAAATGTCCATTAATCATTATTTTATTTCCATTGTGTCTGACGAGATTGCTGTTAGTTGAAACTGGTTCACCATATTGTGTGCAACTATATTACACGTAAGAATATAACGTCAAGCGTACATTACTTCATAAAATCCAATACAAATATTGCCGTAGACGAGTACGTCGCTGGTAATTTTTATCATTTATCATCATTAATTTTTATTTTTAAAAATAAATAATTATTACTTTAATTTATGGTGTTTTAATTAAAATATTTCAATACATGGTCAAAAACATGGTGGGGAGGGGGTAGTTAAAATTTGTACTTCGCGGATAAAAAAAAATTGAGCTTAGTGTAGTTTTTTTTTTTTTTTATAAAGGAATTTTAATATCAAATATGAACGATTTGTCAGTTATTAAAACTAGTCAATAGTCAGCTATCCAATAATTTTCTAGACAGTAAAATTTTTAACAAATTTTAGCCATTTTAATATTGCGAGTTTTGTGTATAATTTTTATTCAATGGTATTCTGTAAACGAAATGATAAATGGCTAAACAGAAATTATTGCATATTTAATGAGAGGTTTTTTTTTAAAATTTTCAAACTGGTTAAACTCTGTGGTAAAAAAAAAAAAAAAAATTGAGCTTAATGTAGTATTTATTTTTAAAAAGGAATTTTAATATAAAATTTGACGTACATTTTTTGAGCAAAAAGTTATGTGGAACAAATCTAGTTACTGGTCCATGTAAATTTTTTATTTTTTTTTGTTTTGATCATATGTACCTGTCGTCAATTTAAGAGCGTTGTGAAATCAGAATTGAGCGGACTGACTTAGTTTCGAAATTATAGATTTTTGAAGTTCTAATATTATGTGGATATTATATATATTATTTTAATGAACAACACAACTGATGCAGGGTTAAATAATTCAATCAGTGGAACAACTAGAGGGTTGGGGGTTGTGACCTCCCTTCCCCGATTTATGTCTGTTAGTTTATTGTGAATTTTACGTAGTACTTACCGATTTAAAACATAATGTTGTAACATCGTATATAAATAAGTGATAACAACTATCATCATAAAGATCATTTTCTACAATTAAGAGGCTAAAAACGTATTTAAGAAACACTACAGGACAGCAGAAACTTAATGGAATGCCACTTTAAACATACAAAAAAATTAGCACATTACAGCATTCGCTCTGAAGGCGACTATTTACGTAATATTATTTTTAAAAAGTATTCAGAATAATTTTCCATGTCTAAAATAAACGACAAGGTTATTCAAAATTAATATAAATATTTTTTTTAATTATTACCAAAAAATATCCCGATGGTTTAAATGGCCCACCATGTACTTATGAGTAAAGTATATTTAAATACATAATTCATATGAGTCTAAATAGTTTTCCAATATGCGTTGTCTATAAATGAAAGTTAAATAATTTTAAGATTTCACTCATAAACCTAATTAAACCTTACCCCCTCCAAAAATAAATCCTGGTTGCACCACTAAACTCAATATTGTCAATAATATTTTATGTTTTTCTTAATCTGGTGGTATGTATCTGTTGTTATCCCAGAGATCGCAATTTCAAACCCGAGTTCCGAAAAAATGTTTCGCATTTTTTTCCTGTTATCTAACCAGGGAAGAAACAAATGTATTTTAAGTTCACCTAGAAACCTAAGCTATCGTTTGCTCGGACTATTTTTATTAAAAGATACCTCTTGGTTTGTTGTACAAACTATTCTTCCAGAAATCTTGCTCCGATGTATCCAATTATAGCAATGTTTTCAACACGGAAGTTTTTTTTTTATTTTACAAGTGGTTTTCAAATGAATTGGTAAAAACCGGGATAAAATGTCGGAAATTTAAGAAATATAAGTATTAGTAAAAAAATATCACGGCCCTTTTTTTATTCCTGTGAGCAACTTTTCTACTAATATTTTTGCTTCGATTTATAATAATCGCACTTTTTCTGAAAGGAAATCTAACTAGAATGGTACTTTAGGAAGATTATTTTTTGAGTTTTCCAATAAAGGGTTTTCCCAATAAATGAAAAAAAGGAAAATGACAGTGACTCTCAAATTCCGGGAGTGGACTCGAAAATTCTCGCAAACAACTTGCAACATTTTTGACACCAACTTCATGGACGTTAATTATTTTACCCTAATGTGACATGGTTATTGTTAACAAAGCAACACTATTATCCGAACTCTGCTCAGAATCGTTTTTAATTTGAAATGGTTAATCGTTGCATACAGATATACATTAAATATCCCTTTTACTTTCCCAACTTCTTACCTACAACCGTGGCCCATCCATGTGCGAAGCATGTCCATCTTTTTTTTGTATTTGTTATTTATAATGTTATAATAATATTATATGCGACTGATATTGATATACCCGTACATACGCGGTTCACCAACAGATAGTACCAGTATCTAAGCAGTAATCGCAGAGCACGACCACTGCAGCCGGTGTGCGGTGTCTGAACTATTAGTCGTTACCTAAGCCGGTTTTTTTTTTTATCTATAAAAACTCATACAATCAATGTTTGCGGGTGGTATACGGAACCTTGTACAGAATATACTGCGATATGATTTCCTTTTTTATCGGTTTCCTTGCACAGTTTAGTCAGAGGTTCCCAAACAGTGGTTCTCAATCGGTGTGTTACGACATTCTAGAGTGCTGCATATTACTGTGATATGTATCGTCAAAAAAGTTGTTTGTTTGTACGTAAATATCCATGTCCTCATTCATAATCACTATGTTGTGAGCATTGTGTATGCCATTTAAATTCATTAATCATTTTTATGGATCTAAATTAGGGTGTCATCATACAAAAAATCTTGAGAACCACTGTCCTAAATTATTTTCTAAAAATCAGATGGCACTCTATAGTATAGTAATAGTATATCGTATATTTATATTTTATAACTTCGGTTTTGTTAACGAAGTATAATATATGCAAATATATTATACGAACATAGGAGCGGATCTAAGAAATAGATAGAGAAGGTGCTAAAAATATCCACTTTCTATATGCTTGAAAAATGTATTTTTTATACAAGTTATAATTTATATAGTGTAGTATAAGTCTTATTTTTAAGTACCTACACGTGTGATGGAAGGGGCTTCAATCCCCATAGTCAGTCCTCCCTATTAGAACGCGGCACACGATGTGCCACGGCACCCTAGTTGGGAACCTCTGCGACATAGAGTTTAACCTTGTACATTCAGTCGCGTCCAGTTGCTGAGACGGCAGCAACAACAGCTGTTCGTATATTATAATGTTACAGTAACGAACTGTCTGTTTTCACGTGTTTAATCTAACGCCACCGCTGCCGACCGGGCTCATTGATGGTTCAGTTTGCTTGGCTGGAGTGCATCAACAACAACGTTATTATTATGGTTCTCTGTCGATTTTCCGGGACGTTCAGGCAGATAGCCGCGTGTGTTGTTGGTTCGTAATCATTATATTATTATTATATCGCTAGTCAGCTTGATTTTTAGTTTTTATTTTCTCGTTTATTTACCTATAGTAATAAAATACACGTTTGTACATTTTTTCCACTTCGTATTGTGGACGCTATGCCCGTCCGTAAGTATGTTAAACGCATTTGTATACATCACACGCATAGAAGATATCCAAACGCAAAGACCGGACAAAAACAGCTCCATTTCAATAAAAAAAAAAAAAGAGAGCTGATACTGTGGATAGGGTGCGGTCACTTTTGTGATCGGGTAATCGGGAAGGTGAGAGACATAAACTTATTTAAATTATATCTACATGTAACGTTAAACTATTGCGTACGAAAACTATTTGGAGGAAGTTCGGTTATACATGTTTTGAAAGGCTATAATATTTAAGATTTCCATAAAAATTTGATTTTAAAACAACCTAATAAAAAAAAAAAAAACCAATGTGTTACATTAAATTTTATTTGTTTAAACAAAATATATTTATTTTTTCCCTGTAATTTACCTGACGTAGTTTTGCGAAAAAATTTTTACGAAACTCGGATTTGAACTTGCAACCCCTGGGATAACATCAGGTAAATACTACCGCTAGATTACGACATATATATTCTATGAAATAATAATATTGAATTATTTAACATAACACATATAACATTCGCATCATATTAAAATTTCAAAACTAAGTCAGTCAATTTTGACTTCACCATCGTTCTTAAATTGACAACAGGTGTACATATTATGATCAAAACAAAAAAAAAATTGAAAAATTTGCATAGACCAGTAACTAGATTTGTTCCACATAACTTTTTGCTCAAAAAATGTACGTCAAATTTTATATTAAAATTCATTTTTTAAAAAATAAATACTACATTAAGCTCAATTTTTTTTTCTTTTTTGACCAGAAAGTATACTTAAAAAAAAAAAAAAATCTCTCATTAAATATGCAAACATTTCTGTTTAGCTTAAACGATTTTTGTCAAAATTTAATATTGACACTTTTTATAAGAAAAAAAAACTACATAAAACTCTATTTTTTTCAACCACAAAATATGACATTTAGTGAACTTCCCGTTCAATTTTCAAACATTTCTGGTTAGTCTGAAAATTGTATCCACAGACTGCAGTGGTGGATTTAAGGGTTCAAATAAATCCGGCAAATCCATTAGAGGGGCTTCGTACAAAATGTATCAGTAACATACTTACCCCAAATTTACAAAACAGATCGCTTTGCTTTGCTAAACAAAATTAATAGTTAGTATATAAAATAAAATTACAAAACTAAGAATCTCTGCAAGCTTTGGAAAAATTGTTGATAAGATCGTTCATATTAATAAGTTGTGCTGCTTCATACTCCATAGAAAATAAGGCTGAATTGCTTGTTCAGTTTTAAACCATAGTTAATCGAAGATAATTTTTTAATGATCTTAGTACACTCATAGTTTTTTAGCACTCGCACTTCACAATGGGTAATGATAAACATATTTTAAATAAGTTTCCGTTTGGGGCAACACATAGGACAGAGAAAGGTTAAAGATGAATGTAAAATAACTTAATATATATTCTATTGAATATTGGTATATTTTAATTAGTATTGTGTGTGAAAACCGATGCGGTGAAATTGATTATAAAATCATAAATTCGTACATAGAGATTAGTGTACAGTATTGCAGTAGTATCTATTATAATTATAAATAATATTATTTGTTATCAACGGTAGTGGATATAGAAGGTAGAATAACTTAGTTTTATGTCTGTAAGTTATTTGTTCGATCTTTTCTATATTTGTTTAATTATAACATATTCTACTTTTGAACTATCCTATGTATTTAAATTAAATAAAGTAAACAAATATAGTTAATATATACAATGTATATATGTATATTATACATATATATAAAACGTAAACCGGGAAATTTCAACTATGATATACCTGATGATAAATTTTTAATTCGAAACCGGTCGTTTAATGTTAATACACTTAATACAATACTCCAGTCTACACATTCATTAATTTATTTTATATGTATATTTTGTATTTATATATTTATTTAGGAGTATTAACTATTTTAATAATTTTGTTTTTACTTTATTATTTTTTTTATATATTTAAATTATTTTATAATTAAAACAATGCAAATTTTATTCCATTCAGCAATATAATTGTTTTTTTTTTTTGAGCAAAATTTAAAAAAAAGGTCCGTTAAATACGCCACTGCCATAAAGTATCTGTGTTAAATACACATACAAAGGTTAAATGGCAATAGTTTATGTTAAATAAATTAAGTGCTGTGTCTTGACTTCTCACGTATAATATCATTAGGTGTATTTATAATATATTATTATCTAATCTTAAATAAAAAATATTTGACGATTTCTACATACCAATAATAAAATTATCAAATTAAAAAAAATCAATTAAGTACAAAATTAAATTATCTTATATTATACACAATGTCCTATAGTGTTATGCTTATACTAATAACACTGTCAATATTCATTTTTGGGTTCGTCGGGTTTTGTGCATGTGTAGAGAAAAATTAAATTTTTATTTTTACATCATAATCACTAAAAAAATAACTTTCTATTTATCCAAAATAGCAATTTTGTAAAATATATTATTTTAAACATTTTAATATATATCATTCATATTATATTCAAATAATAGTTTCTTAGTTTTAATGGATTTCACGTGTAGAAAATAGTCATGGAAACAATTAATATTTAATATGGGATGAGATACAAATTTAATTTTTCTATACATATGTAAAAAATTTCCCCCTCGCACAAATCTCAATTGAAAAAAAAAACGAATAGTGACAGATTTATTAACATAATAATAACATTGTAGGACACTCTGTATATGATCTACTTTGTACAATTATTTCAAAATATGTAGGTATTATAAATGCAACTATTGAGTGAGGTAAAAATTTATTATAATATTTTAGATACTTATATTTTTTATATTTACCTGACTCTTACAATAAAACAATTAATTCAATCTAATTTATACTCATTGAGTTTTTTATAAAAAATAAAATTCATTATCATTTTATTCAGTATATTTTGTATACTTAAAAAAAAACTAAAAAAATTAATTTTTCAAAATAAATGAAATAATCGATATTTTATCATTTTTCTTAGAAAATAATGAGATAATAGTCATAATAATCTATAATTTATAGATTTATGAACATTTTTATACTTACATTTTTTATTTAAAATAAAAAACATCTATAGCTTAAGCTGTGTATATTTTGAGATAAGTTCAATAGTTTTTTTATTATACCCAAAAAACGACAAGTCAATCCTATTTTACAATTTTCCAACCCCATTCCGGCTCGGGAAGGAGGTGAATAATCATGACCAAATTTAACTCAAATAACTTTCTTATAATAATGAATAAAATCGTGGGGTGAGAAATCAAAAGTGCGTAAATTTAAAATTAAGGGGACACATACGTATGTAGAAAAAAATTTAAAAAAATGTTTTTTTCATCCCTTAATTATTGAAAAAAACAACTTTATTTCATCACAAAATTTTTAAAAATAGCCATTTTATAAGAAATATAATTTGACATGCATTACGATATAGTTAATAGCCATACTACGTCCGGCGTCGCCCATGCCAATATGTATTATTATTATTTTACCCATTTTCAATTTTGGTTTTAGCCGTGTCAGAATTGAATGAAAACAAATAGGTGAGTAGTCCACTTTCGGGGGATTAAATGTGTTCTATTGTAAAATTTTAATAGTGTAAATAATTGTAATAATAATAATTATAATAGTTTTATTTTCTATAGCAACCATTGAATAAATAAAAATAAATTAATAATCAATTAGTTATTCGTACTTAATATACCTAAAAACTCCTATTTTACTCCCTTAAGGATTGAATTTTCAAAAATTCTTTCTTAGAGGATACCTACGTCATATGTGCCAAATTTCAGCCCGATCCGTCCAGTGGTTTTGGCTAGGTGATGATGAATCAGTCAGTCGGGACATGTTATTTCATATATTATTTATACTTTAGTTTCTTTATATATTAGCCGTTTTAATTTCTAAAAAATTGGCATAAAAACAATAAGTTTTCGATAGAAGATAAGAAATTATCTTGTTGATTGTGATTCCTTATCGCGTAACGTGTTATTCTATTTAAAATTAATTGTTTTCATGCCAATTTTCAAGAAATTAAAACACCTATTACTAAGGAACTTTTGATTGGATATGAATGTATAACACATTCAAATTTTTAAAAAAATTGAATGGAGGGGGAAATAATCTTCCCTATCTTCGTGATACCCCCCTATGGGTATCACGTTCTCTTAAAATCCGCTCACAGTATACCTATGTAAAATTTCGTGTCGTTTTCGCAGGTTCGTTGCCCGTGTTCATGGCAGGCATCGTGCTTGGCTGGCCGTCTCCGGTCATCGAGTATATGACGGCCGGTTTGGGACCTGTGACGTTATCCCCGACCCAAACGTCGTGGATGATCGCCTTTATCGACGTTGGCAACTTCTTCATGGCCATACCCGCAGGATGGCTGATGGACTGGATGGGACGCAAGTTCGTGCTGACCATATCCGGACCGCTGATGGTTGTTGGATGGTTGTTCATACTGTTCGGAAGTCGAGTGAGAACCTTATACTCGTATTTAAGGACGGCCGATATCACTTTTTACAGATATCCAATATTCCGAAATATTATGCTACTGATATTAATACCCGATACTACCAATACCCGATATTTTGAAATCTAGTTATAGTATTTTAAGTTGTCTAGATGGTACTTTAAAGAGGTCATTTTTTGATTTTCGATATCATTTATTAAATAAATGTGTGGAATAAGTGGAATAAAACGTAGGAAAACGTTCAATTTCACGATTTCATTATTTTATGAAAACACGGACGACGTTTTCTACCAGAAAACATGATTTAATCAAAAAATCACAAAATATCTTTTTTGTTGCCTTTTCGATTTACTTTCTAAGTATATCACGACCAAAAATTTTGAGCCACTTTTGAGCTTTTAAGAAATTTTAATTTTTGAGAGTTTTTTTGCTGTACTTCGGTTATAAATACACGTAGAAACTTTGAACTTGGTAATAAGATTTATATTAGATTTACTTAGACGTGGTGAAATCACCTAACCTTTTAGTAATTTTTTGAAGTTCAGAGAAAAGTACCTATAATTATATAGCAGGCTGTAATCAGATACGCTAATTGATTTTTATTATGGCTAATTTACTGTACACTATTTTAAATCATTTAAGTAATAGGCTTATCATTTTTTCAGCCGTGGCAATTGTATGTGGCTAGGCTGCTGCAAGGGGCCGCTGTCGCCATCGGGTTTGTTGTAGCACCAGCGTATGTTGGCGAACTAGCTAGCGTCCGGATACGTGGCAAGCTGGGCCTGCTGATCCAGGTATGTTACGGTACAGGCCTGCAGTTTTCGTACACGGCCGGTTGGCTGTTCAACGACTACACTGCTCTGGCCATTGCATCAGCCTGCGTGTCCGTCGTTTCCAGCGTCTTATTCCTGTTTCTACCCGAATCGCCGTACTATCTCATGTTGACCGGCCAGCTGGATGACGCCACGAAATGTCTGTGGAACCTTAGGAGTTATACTGCACAAGAGTTGGAATCCGAAATTGTGACTGTCAAAGGGTCCGTGATGAACGATACCAGGTAAATATTAAAACATCCTCATAACGGTTTGCGGCGTCAAACTGGTCGAAGTGTTAATAAATTCAAGAAAATGTATTTAAATCATTTTAAACTAGAATGTCTAAAATGAAAATGTCATATCTAAACCACGATATTTATTTATAAAGTGTCTTTGCTGGTAGAAAAGTTGTCCACAGAAAAAAACAAAATAACTAAATAAACATCATTGTAAAACAAATATATTTCTCGCTCCACTCAGAATCTAAAACATCTTTTGTGCTGCCTCCTCTCCCGTCTCAGTTGTTCCATCTTTACGAAACATTATTTTAGTAACTACTATTGTGTTATGGATGCCTAACGTGCTACAATAATGTGCTGTTGATGTCACAATAAAAGTGACTCTTCGAATAATTTGATATGTGTTTAACAGTAAAGCAATACTAGCACTCCGAGTGTTAGAACTTTAGTCTTCACTCTATGTCATAGAATAATGTTTAAAATAAATATATTCTCCTGTGCCGTAAAAAGTAATTTTTAATACCGCAAAGTGAATTATAGCTTAATTTACTTGAGACTTTAGTGAGAATATACTCGTTCTGGTGATAAGAGCAAAGTTATTTTAGCGATCATTTTTTTATTATTCGTTGAACTTTGGGCCCCTATTTAATACCTTAGTTCAAGATTTTGATATAATACATTTGAGACTTCGGACTCTTACATTAAATTATACACAAAAACTCCGTATAGTTTTGATCTAGCGCGTGTTAAATCCTATACACGAAAACAATGGTTTTTTAACGTTTATGTTTTCGTACATGGTAAGGAATTTACAAACGTATTCGTATCAAAAACGAATATCGTTTTTGTGTTTAATTAATAATAAAATGTGTTTTATCATTTATGAATATTTGTGAAATTCCAAGAAAAGTTCTTTATTACGTCGTAATGGCCTGGTCAATATCGTATATCCATTCCATAGGTTTCAAACGGAAACGATAAAAATGTTTCTATCAGTATTTTCGGTGATGTAATTTTTTTGGTTCGGACAAATCGATATAACTTCCCTTTCTTCTATTTTTTCGGAGAAGCTTTATTACGATAATACGATATCGGCTCTGTCTTTCATTGTCGGTCGCATCGATAATCCCTAACTAGACGTCGTTGTGTTGACGTACACGTAAGTTAACGTTTTCTAATAAAATATTTATTAATTATAAATTATTATCTATAGTAAAATATTGTATGGAATCTAGCGGGTCAACCAAGAATGATGATAGAAGGGAGTAAAAAAGGAGAAAGAGTGCAGAGCAAGAGAGTATTTTTCTAAAGAACAAATATTTTTTCATCTCAAAACCGAGAATTAAGTAAAAAATTATATTTGACGAACAAAATCGAATATATAATATCAAATATTATAAATTCGTTTTATATTAATACTATTCGGTGCCAATCGTATGAAAACTGTAGTAACTCCGAGGGACTGAACACTATGTTATTGCAAAGACGTTTCTTTAAATACGCGTGGAATTTAATATTTTTGGACTTATAGAATTTTCGTTTTGTCAATAGTCTGTCTTGATAGATGGATAAATATACGGATATTTCCATATCTTATGGAGGGAGATATCGTCTTGCTGTTTATTTCCAGCAGAAATTTGAGTTGTCTGCACGGAAATCGTTTGTGCTACGTTGATTTAATATTATAATGTTCATATGTATGCATTACATGTTAGGTGAAAGACATTCCAAATACAATAATTATATAATATAATTCGAAATTTTCATTATTTTGATATTGCATCATTGCGCTTCACAGTGCCGTAGTCAAGGGGGAATGTGCCCTCTCTCCCGAAATCTTATTTTTTTCTAAAATGCTGTGATGCAGTTTAAATTAATTCGTTATATTAATACAATTTATTATTGGTAGTACTATTATAAGTATTTTAAAATATTATAAATTTATTCTTACAAGGTTACAAACTTTATTTTAACTTTATTGTAAAACTAAAGGGATACAAATAAGTGATAAAGGAATAAAAGAGTTATAAAATAATAAATGATAAGTATTCTAGTTTAAAAAATAAATGAAAAAAAATAAGTGCCCGTCCTTCCCGAAAAATTGTTCTGACTACGGTACTGACTTTTCATGTTGTACACGTGAATGAATTCAATTATAACACTTATAAATAAAAAATATTATCTACCAAACGTGTGGAAAATGTATTTATCATAAAAATCATCTGCTAAGAGATCGTGGTATGTTTTGGGTGGGGGAGAAAATGTCCCCGTTCAATGCGTCCGATTTATTCAGTCAAACCTAACCTAACCTAATCTAATCCCCGCCCTAAAATTGAACATGAACAATGATATGAACATGGAGAAAATACAATGGGACACCATGTGTATTACAATAGTCTCAATTTCTGGGAGACATTCGACAATGAATACTTCCGTACGTTATAATAATATAACGAAATCATATACTTACGACGTCGTTATATTATTAGTATATTTAGTACTTTGTGCGTGTTAAAAACGCTTAATCAATTCCGAATGTACATATTTTAAAACGAATATTCGCTGGGGCTTAACTAACTAATTAATTAACAATAAATTTGTGGTCATCTTGTCTCTAACGAACAATATGAATACTATGTTGTGCCTTTGAGGGAAGTTTAGGATAATAATTGTAAACTATTGCGTTACAATGAATATAATATATTGATTATCAATAAAACACCGTACGCGTACGAATTAAAAAAGTCATATTTAATTTTCTTTTATTCAACCGCGTCGAAAAACAAAACGCACACGTTCGTTTTCAGATCGCATTCTTATATTATGTATATTATACAGAATGCCAGATCCAGATATAAATAATGCTTTTTCTCTTATGCTTAGACTATAAATTTTTGCGTTTAGGATTAAATTAGAATTTAAACACAATTAACAATATTTTAAGAGGAAACTATTTCCAAGAGCTGTATGTAGCTTTTTTTTTTTGAAAAATTGTCATACAAAAAAGTTATAGCTATGAAAGAAAATAACAATTAATACGGCTATAATATTTTTATATAAAAATTGTTTATTCTTATTTATTTTATTTGTATTGGTTGTGTTTGGATTTGTTTTTGCTTCAATATCGATTTGTATAAAATGTACGACATGTATAATTTTTTTAATAAATTAAAAAAAAAAAAAAATGTATGCAAAATAGATATTAAAATGCAAGAATTAAACGTTCACTATTTTATGTTTAAATGTTCTTTACTTAAAAGGAAATAATATTATTTTATATAGTTTCGAGTTTAATTTTGATTTAAGGAGTTTACGCAAATAAAATCGAACATTTTTTAAAAATATTACGTTTAATGTAATACTTACTATATTTGTCTTTTTTACTCTTAAAACACAAATATTATGTATATAGGTGAGTTTTCAAATTAATTTACAAAAATTTGGTCGAGATTTTCATGGGGGAATTGTGTTTATATCGTTTCGTTTGTTTTTCATTTTTTTTTTTTTTTTAATTTTTTTTTATCTCTTGTCAAACGGTAAGTTAACTAACAAAAGAAAAACCGTGTAAATATTTATAGAAATCTGGAGTAAATATACTATACGGGTAAATATAAAAATACGGTGACAAAGAAAAGGAAAATTGTTTTTTTCGCTCTGTACACGTGACACCCTCGTCATCGTCGTCGATATAAATCCTCTCAAATAAAATTGTATTATTACTATTATTATTATAACCATCAATCTAGACACGTGAGGATTGTTAACACGTTTTTTTTTTTCCTGAATATATTATCATACAAATAATAATACATGGAATTTTTACAGGGACAAAACGAACTTAGGAAACCTGTTGACTAGGGACCGTCGGCCGCTCGTCATCGTCTTGGTGATGGCCGTACTGCAAATGGCCAGTGGTGCAAGTGTACTGGAAGCCTACGGCTCCGCCTTGCTGGCCGGCTATGGCGTGTCGTCGAACGTGCTTGCAGTGTTTCTGGGCTTGACCATCCTAGTGGCTGCGGTGCCGTTCATGCTAGCCGTGGACCGGTACGGCCGCCGGCCTCTTATGCTTGTCTCGTGTTTCGGTACGGCCGTCTGTCACGCACTCGTCGTCTACTTTCTGTGGCATCGGCTGGCTGGCGGCGCCGCCGATAATTGGTGGCTGCCGTTGTTCGCATCGATTTCCGGCGTCCAGTTCTTCATCAACATCGGTATCATGCCCATGCTGGCCGTCGTTGAGTGCGAGTATTTTCCATCCGACACTAGGGCTCTGGCCGACACGGCAGTCGTGCTCACACTAACGCTATCGTCCACCGTCGCCATCACCACCTACCAGGCCACCGGGGGGTTCAGCCAAGTCGTCAACTACGCTGTTTATGCTGCGCTGTCCTTGGCCGGCGGCGTGTTCTGCTACGTTTTCATGCCAGAGACAAAATGCAAAACGTTCGTCGAAATACAAAAAGACTTCCGACCTTTGGACTGTCTTACACAGGAATATGATCACATTTGAATACACGATAATCATGAAATATCATCGTAATATTTTCCGCTCCAACCCGTCGAATACCAATATATTATTGCGTTTATTGAGTATTTTTTTTTTTTTAACCGCTGTGAATAAATAATATAATTTTATCAGTGTATTTGTACGGAATATCGGTAGACGAGTTCCAATGGACTGAAGACTGTACAATGTACACAGATTATAATGCATTATAATGTACTTAGATTATTTTATTCAATTAGTTTTATTTTGAAAATAAAATATTATTGAACGGTTTTCACGGAATTTGGTTCGTTCGGTTCAGGATGAATTCACCACCTATGGCCATTATCCCTGCTATGGACACAGATTTTTATTTTTTTTTATAAACTATGTATAATTTTTTAATTTCATAAGCCATATAGTCATATACTCCACGATGGAAGTTTAAGGGGGGGGGGCAATTGCAACACAATTGAAATACAATGAACGCCCCTTGCACACCTTTATGTACTCGAGGTCAAAATAATACAAACACGTGACATAGTGGACCTTTAAACACAGCTGAGTAACTTAGCTATGGATAAATATTGCAATTCATTCTAAACGAAATATTCTCATAGAGTCGTTGGTGAAATCTTTTTTAAAGCCATATTTTTTCAGAGGAACTTAAGGTTCTTTCAATAATTTCAAACGTTGTCATTATCAACATAGGAATTTAAATACAGTCCAGTATCTAATTAATTATTAGCACCAATAGTCAACTTATGAAGGAGTTATGGCACTTCTTTTTGTTTGCCATTTTGTTGACTGATATCTATAGTACTTAAATTATCTGTATCGTGACTGTCTTTTAAACTAGTTTTATTTTTATTAGTACTCAGACTGGTACTCGTACTTGAATCAATTTTACGTTTCTTTCAGAAAAAAATTAACTTAAGCAATATTTAGTAATCAGCGTATATTATGTAAACCTTGTAAAAAATATCCTAGCGATTCTATGCATATAGTTGTTATTGATGGTAGTTCTCATTTTTTAATGTTCTTAAGACTTTGAAATTTAAACTAAGTATTGGCCTAATCTAACTTGAGTAAAAGTGAATACTGACTTCGGCTAAGCGCATCCAGCCTCCCAGACTGCTATAGTTTACCATATAAATCCTATATTGTGTGCCTTCCAAAGTTTTCTCCTATAACAGTGGCCTGTCCACAATGCGAAAAATAAAAATAAATATCTATTTAATTTTACGGATAAATATTTAAATAATATAACAAACAGGTCTATTAAATATTTATCTACAGTACCGAAATTAATTTTGTATAATAATTTAACACGACATTTGATACCTACCGAATTGGTTTTTTAACTGTATAAACATACCTATTATACAAAAGAAATAATGTTCAATAAATCTCTAAGACGATGATGGTCGCATCATCGTTCACCATATAATATTCGTATGTAATAAAGCTCATGTTTCGTATGTAAATATTATATAATACTTAATGTATATATTAACGTTAATGTATTAAATGGAGGTATTTCATGAAACCTAACCTAACCTAACCTCACTGTAACAATATCTACAAAAGCAAAATAATATTTTTAATTCGACTTAAAAACACGTTTAATATTTGAAAATTGAATAATATAGTTTTTAGATTCTGAGTGGAACGAGGAATGTATTGGTTTTACAATGATTTTTATTTTAGATTCTGAGTGGAGCGAAGAAGCTTATGGTTTTACAAAGATGTTTATTTTAATATTTTTTTCCTGTAAACAACTTTTCTACCAGCAATTTTTCTTCGATTTTCAATTATAGCACTTTTTTAAAAAGAAATCTGCTTAAGATAGTAATTTGGGGAGATCACTTTTTGATTTTCATTGGCTGTTTTTAAAACACTCTTTAGTTTGAAAACCTATCTACTCACTTATATTCCACTACTAGGTCCTATACTCCTATTCCGTACCATTAGGGATACCAATATCCATACACTTACTCACCCACCTGGTGAAAGTTTTAACTAACTTCAAAGAAAGGGAGCGACAGTGGTGGACTAATGGGGAGTTTAGGGCCATAGCCTATCTACTCCTTTAAAATTTGTTCAGATCATCCTATAATGCTGCCTCTTTTATTTGCCAGGATTTCCTCTAATAGGAATAACTTCAAATGTCAAACTCCTTCCCACGAGTGTTAACCTCAAATTACAGCGTTAATTGTTAGTTCCACCAACTTATGTAAAACTTTGTATATATAAGTGAATAATTTAAACTAATAACAAAGCAATTTCAGAATAATGGTGTTGGAGCCAGTGCGTTTTTAGTACAAAAATATGCCTTTCAGAAAAAACTCTCACATCCTATAAAATAGTAGGATTTTGTTAATTTTTTTTTTTTAATTCAAAAGAGAAAATTGTTTAGATCGGATAGAAGCTCGATCTTCAAAATTCTATTTAAACTGAAATATTCATTTGATTAGTACCAATATTCACTATTTTTTAAAAGTATAATTTTTATAACGTATTCAAAGTCAAATGAAAATTTGAAGTAAATTAGAGCAAAAACGAATACTATATATTTTTTATTTGCAAAATAAGAAGTTATATTTTTAAAGTACGAAATTGATATTTCTTTTTTGAAGAACATCTTTTAATAGATTTCCAAAAATTGATAAAAATTGTTTTGAGTTTAATACACTTTAAAGCGGAAAAAATTGATAAAAACTCTATGGGATTATTACAATAAAAAATTTAATTATATTCTATGGTAATGGTATTATTATTATAAAAAACAGTTAAAAAAATGAAAACTTTCGGTCGATTATTTGTAATAATAATATAATGTCAAGTAAATGTATTCAGGAAGCTCTTAAATATTATTAGCTAAGAGAACTTTTTTCTAACATGATATTTGTACCCAGAGAAACGCTAATATACACACACAAAAAAAAAACTACTTTTTAAAACTTATTTAAGAAATTGTACGTTTTTATTTTTTAAAGTTTGTGCGTGGGGAGTACTTATCCCGCATAACTACACTGCATCAGGGGGGCTTGTCGATAGACTTTTGACAGGTGGTACTCGGCGAAAAAATAATTCACTTGCTTTTTAAATAATACAGTCGTTAAATATAAATATAGAGACTAGTAATATTTTCGGTGGTTCCTCGAGAAAGTAAATATAGATGGTTTTTATACACCATTTGTTATAATAATCGCATAATGGACGACGAGTTTACCTAGTGATTAATTTAAGTGGATATACTCATTATCTCCGAAAGTATTAGCTTTTTCCGAAATTTGTTTCCTAGAACATTTAAGAAACATACTGCTCTACAATTTTATATTTATGTTTTTTTTTTTTTTTTTGGTTTTGTCACCCTTTGTTTTGGGGGAAAAACCACTACTTTGATTTTCAAATGGCAACCAATATTTAAAAAAACCCATAAATAGATGGAGTATTAGTTCAAATAAATATTAGTATTGACATTTTTGATTTCTGTAAAGCCGTTGACGAGATATTCCACTTTTATGTTGGGGTTTGAGGAGAGTAATGGTGCATTATTAACACGACACGTGCTGTTATACCGCCACACAAATGATACTCTACTACTCTTATCTTCCAATTACCGACTTTACAACATTAACCGTAACATATACATGTTAAAATGTAAAATAATGTGACAAAATCGTGCATTCGGCGTAACTACGTCAGACGAGTTTAATCGATTTAACTATACAGAATGATTAACATCGCGTAAAACATTATAATGGAAATTATTAATTTTTTTCGGAATTTATTTTTAGAAAATGTAATAAACAATAATAGCAATTCTAAAATTTTACATAGGTAAACGTTATTTTTTGTATCCCTTGTTTTTTGGAATGAAGCCATCCATGAGCATGCGTAGACATTTTTCTAGAGGGGGTCAAAGGTAATTTAAAACATAAATAAACATTTTTATTTTGAAAAGAAAACTATAATATATTATGATATCATTATCATATATAGTTGTATTGCTATGCCCATGATTAACCACACTACTCACTTTTGATTTTCAAACAACAACCAAGCAATTCATGTAAAAATGTTTTCAAAAATAGATGAAGTTTTAGTTTAAATCAATTTTGGCATTGGAATTTTTAATTTACATCGATTTGCTGACTAAATCCACTTTTAAGTTTGGTGTTGTGTGAACAGGGAGAAACTACGTTTAAAAATTGACTACGTTTTGAAATTATATAATAACTTCTTTAAGTTCTGATATTATGCGGATTTTATGTGTTATGTTAAATAACTAAATATTGTCTACCCTAAAGTATGATTGTCGTAGCTGAATAGTTATATATACCTATTTGCATCCTAGATTTCGTGAGTTCAAACCTGTGTTTCAAAGAAAATTGATTGCATGTTTTCCCTTTTTACCTGAACAAGGAGAAAAAAATGCATTTTTGGTGTACCTAGAGACGTAAGCCATCGCTCGCTCGGACTATTTTAATCGCAAAATACCCCTCGATTTGTTGTGCAAACATTTCTCCCAAAAATCTTGCTCCGATATATCAAGTGTAACTTATATTCTAAATGGAAATTTCATACCCTTGGTAACTCGGGGAGGTTTTTTTTTTATTTTTCCAAGAGTTTTCCCAGCAAATATGAAAAATCGGAAAAAAACATGAGAAAAACGGGAAAAACGCAGGAAAACGGGAAAATTGGTACAATATTAAACAAATATTATTAAGGAAACTTTATAATACCTATTTAATTATTTTATCATGATATGGCATATATATTGTTGACGAATCATTACTATAACTAAACTGCGTTCAGTATCGTTTTTTTTCGTTAGTTATGGTTTAACAGTGACAGCACCCGATCCTATTATCCTAGGACATCTTTTTTAATATTGAAAATTACACTATCTGTATATATATGGTACAATAAGTATAAAGTATGATGGATAAAAAAAACAAAAAACAAAATATACATGGAATGTAGATGCCAACCAGCGACAGTACTTCGGCGGGAGAATATAACATAATATTTCAAATTGACGGTACATTTATTATAGTTATAGCTGGTACGTTATAATTATTATGGTATACTAGATTTAGATATTATGAAACTTGGTGAGTGTAGATTATATATTAGGTTAATTTAGTTTGTACACTAATAAATTTCAATCAAAAACCGTATATTAGTGGACTAAAGAATAAGATTTATAATTTACATTATTATTTAATTTAATAAGTGTATAAAATAAAAGTTATTAGGGTATTCTAACGATTTATAGATAGTACTCGACTTAATGCGGACGAAGGCGGTCAGAGTATTTCAACCAATTTTTATACAATTTTGACGTACTTTTATCTATTTGTTTTAAGTGGAACACGCATTTTCATAAAAATTTAAATATTTAACGCATATCAAAAAAAAAAAAAAAAATTGTCTGGGCCAAAACAATTTAATCCATATTAAACCAAAAAATAGGAAAAAAAAGAACTTATACTGCTAAAGGGTATGCCACTGTTGTAGGTCAATAGTTGGGAAGGTAAGATACATAAAGATATTTGATTTATATATTTAATGAATTTGACCTATTGTTAACGAAAACGATTCTGAGTAAAGTTCGTTTCACGTTTGTACTTGATTTGAAAGGCCGTAATATTTACGATGCCATAGTCAAAATAAAATATTAACACCATTTATACTAGTCCGTTTTTATTTACGTCTTTTTTGGTTTTCCCAAATATTATTAAAACTGTTGGAAAAATCAAAAAATGGCTTACTTCCTCAACATAAATATTTAATATTTCACTAAAATATTACTTGTTATTTTTTCATTAAATATTTTAAATAAAAAACATTATGCATAAAACAATGAAAGCGGTAACACTGTGAAATGCCGTAAATATTAGTCGTTTATTTTGTTAATTTAAGTTTTTCCCAACAATTTTGAAAACCCCTCTTAAGGTACAAACAATATTTTATTGATAAATATTTTTATTTTATTGAATACGATAACATAAATATAATATTAATTAAACATTTTCTTTCGTGTTTTTTTTTTTTACAAACAGGTCAAATTGTTTTATCACAGCTTAACGAATCAATCGGTAATAGTATGTTCGATGCTGATCAAATATGTTTGAAAGTTTTCAAGTCAATAACAATGTGTTTAATTATGTATAATTGGTACCGTCTTGATTTTTGTTGATAAAACAAACACACGGGTTGCAATTTCCGTATTATCGGGACAATATTATTATGATTGTTTATAGATAAAGCGATATTCGTAAATTTAGAATACATAATTTGCGGGACCCGGTGGTGTAGATGCACCGCTTGCCTCCTCCCTAGGGGAGGTTAGGTTAGGTTAGGTTAGTCGGTCTACCGAATATAATTACATACCAAATAAGCCAAATTAAAATGTTTATAAATAGCTCAAAATGACTCAAATGTTTTGAAAATTTTACCACAACATTGTACGATTGAACCACAACAAAAAAATAAAATACAAAATAATAAAAGCATAAATTTCCCGTTTCCTGGCGTTCATTCCCGGTTTTTCTCATTTATGATAAAAATCGTTTAAAAACCAAGACCCAAATACAATTTTCTTTAAGTAAAGGTACTTGAAAATTGGATCAAGATTACTGGTAGAAAAGTTGTTCACAGATAAAATAATAATAATAAAAAAAAAACATTATTGTAAAACCAATACATTCCTCGCTCCACTCAAAATCTAAAAAAATAAATTAAAAACGAATAATAAAATTTATTTACAAAAATCTAAAATTTAGACCTTAATAGAGGATAACCTTTCAAGAGCTTTTGTTTTGGCTAATACGAATTCAAGATTTCCACCAAATTAAATTATTTTGTGGCTCCCCGCAATATATTTAGATATAAGGTTTTATAACTAATAAAATAATTATAATAAATAAATAATATTAATTGTGATATAATAGTATTCATATTTTTCTTTTAAAATTACTGTTAAAATGTTACAATAGTTGTTTTATCTTGTAAAAATGGCATTTACCCGTATGTATAACAATAAATAAATATTATTATACATATTATTAAATGTATAATATTATTATATTATTATTTTTTAAAAAAATGTTTAATTTGTCTTTTTCGGATCAAACCACAGATTTATAAAATTCTATTATACTTTGATGTTTGGGGGAAAAGAAAATGACCCCATTGTTCCCTTAATGGTTCTATTAATGACATACACTGTTATAACTCGCCCCTTCTCGCGAAAATTGAGATTTTTTTGTAACACTAAATTCATTACTTTATAATTTCGAATACATGTACGTT